ACTTTAGCATTAAGCCTCTATTGCTACTCATTTGTTAATTGGGTTTTGAGCATAAAAGCTATACAAAATAGCAAATTAATGCTGAGAACTAGAGATTCACATCGCAATTTTTAACATGGCTCAGCATAACTAGGAAAGTTAAGGATAGTGTCAAATTGAAAAAAAATGTGGCAAAAGCTTGGTGGTGAGCCAGAATATTAGGTAAGTTTTAAAAACCAACAAAAGACAAATTGAGGGAGAAGATAAACTTTGAGGGTAAACTGGATATGGGCCCCTGAGAAAATGAGATTGGGGAAACTAGGAAATGGGAGAGGGGTTGAGTAAATGCTTTGCATCAGTCTTCACATTAGAAAACACTAACAACATTCCAAATATACTAAGTAAGCCAAGGGCAAAAGAAAAAAAGAAATAAATACAATAACTACCACTTGAGGAAAAAGTGCAAAGGAAACTTTGGGGGCTAAAGACTAAGGTCCCTGCGAGTTGATGGGATGTGTCCTAGGATATTAAAAGGAAGTAGCTACACAGAGACAGTGGCTGCATTGGTATAAGCAATCCTTAGATTCTGGAAAAGTCCCAGAGGATTGGAAAAACGTAAGTGTAACACCTTTGATTAAAAAGGGAAGGAGACAAAATGCAGGTAACTACAGGCCAGTTAGTTTAACGCCAGTTATTGAGAAAAGATCAAATTCCAATATTAAAGAACGTCATAACAAAACATTCAAAAATACATATGATCACGAAGCCATGCTGACTCTGCTTGAAGGATAATTCATGCCTGACAAATTTACTACAATTCTGAGAGGAGGTAACAAGCAGGTTTTACAAAAAGCAGTGGATGGAACATATTTGGATTTTCAGAAGGCATTTTCTACTATACATTAGGCTACTTAATAAGAATCAAACGCTCTTGGAGGTAGTATAATAGCTTGGAAAGAGGATTGGCTAACTAATAGATGAGAAAGTTGGGGAAAAAAAAACAACCATTTTTAGGATAGCAACCTGTAACTAGTGAAGTGCCTCAGGAATCAGTGCTGGAGCAAAATTATTTACAATATGACAATTAATGACTTGGATGAGCAAAGTGAAAGTACTATACCAAGTTTGCAGAGGACACAAAATAGGTGGAAAGGCAAGAAGCAAGGATGACAGTGTCTGCAAAGGGATATAGGTTAAGCAACTGGGCAAAAACTTGGCAGATGGAATACATTGTTGGAAAAAAATCTTTTTGTCAGGAAGAATAGAGGAACTCAATATTATTTAATAGAGGAAGGGTTTCTCACCCAAAAGTCTTAGTGAAAATTTGTAGTTCAGGTTGTGGATGTAGTTGTTCATTCGCTCGCTGTGCCAGTTGTACCATGGTGTGCAGATGTTTTGTTATCGTTCTAGGCAACATCATCAGTGCAACCTCTATTTGAAGCGTTGGGTGTTTTGCTCCATTCCAAATTTACATGATCCTTTGGTGTGATGGGTCTTGTCATTTCCAGTTCTGTGTTTTTTAAAGCAGCGGTCTATATACGGTGTCTATTTCTACGTGTTTATTAATGGAATCCTGTGTTGAGAACCAGCCTTCTAGAAATTCCCTTGCAGGCCTGTTGTTCACTTGTCCCAGTCGAACTGATGCCCCTCATTGTCTGTATCGTGCACCAAGACAAGTGAGTATTGGTCGTGACTTTTTATTGCCAGCTGGTGTTCGTGTATCCTGGTTGTCAGTTTCCTCCCCATTTGTCCAGTGTAATGTTTATTGCACTAACTGCGTAGGATTCTGTATATCGCGTTAGTCCTGTTTACTATCGGTATGGGGTCTTTAGTCTTTGATAGCATTTGACGCAGTGTTGATATAGGTTTGTGCACAATAATCTAATGCGGTCTTGGAAGTCTGGCTGTCATTTCTGATATATTTTTAATGTAGGGTAGCATTGCTAGTGTCATCCATTGTACAGTATCTTCTGACTGTCATTTGTTTTGTTGGCATCTGCGGACAAAACTTCTTGGGTATCCGTTGCACAGACGTTCCTCTTCTATTCTCTGGAGTTCTGGGGTGTTGCAGTGTGATACAGCTCATTAAATAGTGTCTTAATGCATATTGAAGTACAGCACTACCAACCACCCCACCACATACAAACAGAGCTGCATTAACACACTATTTAAATGAGCTGTATCACACTGCAACACCCCAGAACTCAGAAGAATGCCTGCACAAAATATTTACCGACAACGGATACCCAAGAAGTTCTGTCCGTAGATGCCTAAAAAACGACAGTCAGAAGACACAGTACAATGGATGACACTAGCAATGCTACTGTACATTAAAAATATCAGAAATGACAGCCAGATTTCTAAGACTGCATTAGATCATTGCGCACAAACCTGCATCAACACTGCGTCAAATGCTATCAAAGATTAAAGACGCAATTCCAACAGTAAACAGGACTAACGTGATATACAGAATCCTATGCAGTGAGTGCAATAAGCATTACACTGGACAAACTGGAGGAAACTACTGTCAGCTGGTGTTTGTGTATCCTGGTTGTCAAAACAACACTTGTCTCGATATACGATACAGACAACGAGGGCCATCAGATCGACTGGGACAAAATGACCATACTGGTACAAGCGAACAACAGACATCCAAGGAAATTTCTAGAAGCCTGGTTCTTAACACGGGACTCCATTAACAAACACAGAAATAGACTCCATATACAGACCGCTGCTAAAACAAAACAGAACCAGAAGTGACAAGACCCATCACACCAGAGGATCATATAAATTTGGAACAGAGCAGAACACCAACATTTCGATTAGAGATCGCACTGATGATGGTGCCTAAAACAGTAACAAAACATCTGCACACCATGGAACAACCCGCTCGGCAAGCTAACGAACAACTACATGGAGGAAGAGTGCAGAAAGCTAGGACAGAGGGATTTGGAAGTCCTTTTCCATGAGTCACAAAAAGCTAGCACCAAGTTCAATGGGTAATAGGTAGGGTAAATGCAATGTTGGCCTTTATTTCAAAGGGAATGGAATAAAGAAGTAGGCAGGTTTTGCTAAACCTAGACTTTTGCTGAAACACAGGTCAGACCACAGCCGTAATGCGGTGAACTGTTTTGGGCCTCTTATGAAGTAAAGATGTAATGGCATTGGAAACAGTCCAGAAAAGGTTTACTAGACTGATTTCAAGTATGGAGGGGCAGCCTTAAGAGGCTAGGTCAAGCACATACTTTTTTGAAATTAAGAAGAATTAGTGACGACCTTATTGAAACATGCAAGATTCTGAAGGGACTTGGCAGGGTAGATGGGGAAAAAGTGGGTTTCCCCTTGTGGGGTAGTCTAGAACCAGAGAGCATAACCCTCAGAATAAAGGTTTGTACATTTAAAGAGATGACAAATTTCTTTGAGGCTCGGTCATTAAGTATATTCAAGGTTCAGATAAATTTTTAATCATCAAGGGAATCATAGGTTAAGGGGATTATCAGATCAGTCATGATTTCATTGAACGGTAGAGCAGACTCAAAGGGATGGATGACCTATCTGTGCTCCGACATCGTCTGGTCAATAAATGAATCTGAATGGGTGCAGGTATTCTTTTTTTTAAAACCAATTAAAGAAGAAGGCATTTTCTAGCCATGTTTCCAAACACACTTGTGACCCAATTCATGACCATTTGATAAGGTAAACATGTCACAGGGTGGTCTAGTGCTTTCACAGAAAACAAAAGTTGTAAATTCCTCATGATTAGTCTTTGCTTTTTAAAACAAAGCTATACAAAACACTGGCCCAAAGTACTGTGTCTAATCTTGGACACCACACTTTAGGAAGGGCGTTTGAGATATTCAGGAGAAGTGGCAGAAAAAAAAACAACAAGACTGGTTCCAGAGATGAGGCACTTCAGTTACAAAGGATATTTTGGAAATAACATGGTTGCTCTCCTTAGAGAAGACAGAATCGAATTGAGACTTAATACAAGGTGTTTGATGTCGAGGGGGGTCTGGACAGAGTAGTTACAAAGAAACTGTTCCCATTGGTGGAATGGTCGGGCACCAAAAGTCAGAAGTGCAAAGTGACTGGCAGGAGAACTAGAAGTGCATTAGAGGGAACAGACTGAATGACCTATCCTGTGCTGTAACCATTCTACGATCGTATAAAAAAAACTAAGACTGACAAGTTTAAATAATCCAAGGAATACTTAAATATAAGGCAACTGCTTAAATCCACATTGCTGACAAAAGGTTTCCCATGATCAGCAACACAGATCAAAACAGCTTTATGAACAGGACAGTGGCTCCAAGGCCAGCTCAAAACTTTGACATTCTGGGATTTAAGATATACAGCTCTGTAACTAACTGTTATATCCTGTGCATTCACAGTCAAATACTGCTCAAGGTAAAAGCAAAAACTCAAATTACTCCAAGTTCAATTATTAGATTTGATCTATATTCACCTCCTTATTATTGGCTTTGAAGATAACACCAATCAAGATGAATACAGGCCATATGTACATTTTAAAATTCAGATCTGAAATATGTAATTTATAAGATCTTCAAACATAGCAATTTTGAGTAACCTTCAGAGCCACACTGAAAGACATATGTAAATGAGGACATCATGTAAAAACAAAATTACACTGTAAGATTTCATTAAAATAGATACATCTAATGATCTGAACAGAAATTTCAGAAAATGTGATTTTACTTAATGAAATATAGCACATACAGATAAAATACGCAAAGTTGACACAGCAAATTAAGTAATGCCATTGGTAGGTTGTTTGAGGGAGATTACATGGCATGATATTACCAACGCATTAGCAGAAACTGTCAATTTCAAGTTACGACAGATTTGCACACGGTGTGGCAACATTTTTTGAAGTGAAACTACATAGGAGATGCTAAGAACAGAAAAAAGCTCAACAAATCAGTAGATTCAATGTAATTTTTTTATTACAATTTTATGACATGAAATGAAAATCATGTGGCTTACATGAAGTTAAAATGGACAGCACAAGAGACCTTGGAAGGAATGACAAAAGATCTGATTTTTTTTTTTTTTTTTTAAACAATCCGGCTATGTTTTATTCTGTTCATTGGGCATTTCCTTTTTTGCCCTTGTACAGCCTTTTTGATCCAATCATCAATTTTTTGATTCTGATTTGCTTTGCTTTATTTCCCCCTTTATTGCTCATTTCAGTTTCGAAGTTCTCCCTAGTTCTATGTTATTCTACCACATCTGGTAGAACTCTCATATTTTCTTACTTTGTGAACAATACTCCTTAATTAGCTTTTCAGGGCTTAGGTGAGGGAGGGGGGAGGAAAAAAAGAAATTTTCGATCATACTCCAGTCATTAGAACAGTCTCAAACATTGCTGCTGCCTGCAGCCCATCTAGGGGAAAAACTGTTTAGCAAGACTGAATGTCAGCAGAAGTAAGAATTAAAATTTCGGATCTCTACGTTCGCACATAGATTCTTTCGGGTCAAGGATTGAAAGGTGAATGAATATGCTGGCCCCATTTAATCCAACTTTAGGCATAAAATGAATTATCTATGTTGTTAAGATAAGAACATCAGGTTAGGTCACAACTGTATGCAGAAAACAACTTCAGTACATATAAAAACGACAATGCCTAGGGAAGTCCAAATTAGGATGAATGCAATGAAATGCAATTTTTTCCCCTCAATCATTAATTTTATAAAAAGAAAACAAAAACCACCCTAGCAGCAACTTGGCAAAAATTCTTTATAACACTAAATTAAGCCAGAATTACACTTGATGTGCAAGTTTTTTCTCAGTTATAATTTTGTGTAGCTCATCTGCATCTTCAGTGGTTTTCACACGGATCAAAATTGGAACAGCAGTGTCAGGGTTCTTCTCATCAATGGGAGGGTTGGGAATGCAAACAATAAGGATGTTGTTCTTTCCTGTCCTTGTACAAGGCAATGATGGATGAAGCATAATGTTCAGTAAAATATTTCCTGATCAACAAAAGAAAAGTCATGGTATTAAATTATAGAACTTTACCACCCCTTTCCCATTATTTTATTCCCCATCACACTGAAATTTGTGTTTTTTAAAAAAAAAATATGTTTCCCTTTTCTCTTTAAAAAGCAGTTACAGATTCTACCACTGACTCTGATAGACCAGTTGTTGGCTCGATAGCCTCTTAAATAGTATCTGAATTCAAGTCTTCTGATTATGACCCATTGGTTATGGAAATTGTTCACCTCAATTTATCTTCCTTCTATTTATAAACAGTAATCTTTCAGAATTTAATCAAAAAAAATTGTCTAAATTTCCTTCACTCAGCAAAACTGAAGTCAAATTGTATCGCAGCCCAAACCAACAATAGTTCATCAGGTTTGTAAATGTACTTTTGGTTGAATGTCCATGATTTTCTTTGAAAGCTCAAACTCGAGTATCTAATTCTCCATTGGACAACGCACACTGGATTCTCAAACTTCAATTATTCAGTCTGATAGCTAGTAGAAAGTTGTACAAATAATAACGTTGGGAATTGCATCAAAAAATTAAACAAAGCATTTATTGATGGAACATTTCATAAGCAATGACCTCATTTTAGAGTACTATCTGCATTTTCGATCTTCCGAATACTGAAAGATTCAATCCTGAAGCAAAGATCATTGAAGGGTAGATGCAAGACTGACATATGAATCCAGATGTTGTAGTAGCCCTGCTTTGCTGACATACCTGAAAATAGCCTGGGAAGTTTAAACTTTTGATTAGTAACCCTGCCCCTCCTCTGCCACGCAGCAACTTCTGCAAACATTGCAGACTGAATTAGAACTGGAGATTTCAGACAGTTCTGATGCAATTACCCAAATAGTTCCCTAGAAAAATATTTGAACAGAAAACCTAGTCTAATCCTGGGTAACTCCAGAACCGAGATTCCCCTTGTCTGCCTGCCATACCCCCTCCCCCCACCACCATACCCCATTAACTGCTCGCTCATTCATCCAATAACCCATTCAACAACATTCAAACACTGCCTTTAAAAAAAACTTACTGTGCAACATCTGTCACTACAGTTAAAGGCACACTCTTCTTCCCAATCTTGTGGGCCTCCAATTTTCGCCTCAAACTTTTTTGCTCCACAGAGAACATCAGCTTTTCAGCTTGTACCTGAAATTGCCACTCCAGTAAATCTCTTCTGCCCGCTCACAGTTCCTCCTTGAAAATGTGGTTACTAGACTGGATGGAATATATCTTAGTTGCGGCCTAGCTAAGCACCTTCAGGACAACCATTCTATTCTAATCTGTATTTAAATAACTTTACTTATGAACTTCAAGATTTTGTATGCTGTTGCTTGCTCTGTCAATAGGACCTGCCAGCTTCAATAAGATTATGAACATGAAACCTAGATAACTCTGACCCTGCATATTCTTTAGGATTGTGGTGCTAAGTCTGTATAGACTCGTCCTATTGCTTCTGCCAAAATAAATATAATCCATATTAAAGTTCCCTCTGCTACTTTCTTACCCTAATCTGCTAGCGCAACTATCCTCCTGCAGTCAATTGGACTCAGTCCCACTGGTCATCTTACTCTAGAGAATACTCAACACTTAAAGTCAATTAGTCCTTTCCATGAAGTACGGCAGCAATATAATTTGTTAATTTAAAGATGATGTGAAATATAAAGGTTAATCTACTTACCAAGATTTGTATCTGCTCGCACCAACAATTGGATCTTTTGATCTGTCACAGGTTTCAAATGGATTGTACCAATTCCCTTCTCTTTGAAATCCCCATCTTTCTTGTAGAACAGTTTACACCTGCATACAAGTTAAAATTACAACTAGTAATTTTATACTGAAAAATCTCGCACAGAATATATATTTTACTTGTCATATTTCGTCATTGAACAAATTCTACATTTATTAACCTGCAATAGAATTGGCTTTTACAAGCAGTTGTATTTCTAATAATAGAGATGTATGCAAACTGCCTGAGGGGAAATCAGTCCAAGAGATCAACAGGTAAATTAAAAGAAAAACTGCTGAGTCAACAAGAACAATCCTGCAGGATAGCATATGAAAGACTAGTGTCTCAATCTTTCAGAAGCCAGTTTTGAAGAAAAACCTCAGAGGTCCTAGAGGTTAGGGACCCGAGAACGTCTGGCAGACAGTAGGGCATCAAGAGAACTATACATAGCCAGTCCGAGTATAGGTCTCAATTACAGGAACAGTAGATCATTCGGTCCCTCAAACCTGTTCCACCATTCAATGGGATCATGGCTGATCTGTGGCCTAACTCCATATACTTGTCTTTGGCCCTACCCTTTAATATCTTTGATAACAAAAATGTATCATAGATTTAAAATTAACAACTGATCTAGTATCCACTGTTTTTGTGGAAGACAGTTCCAAAGCACCTTCTGTGCGTAAAAGTGCTTCCTCGCATCTCTCCTCATTGGTCTGGTCTTAATTCAGACTATGTCCCAGTGTTAGAATCTCCAATCTGGGGAAATAATTTATCTCTATCATCCCCGTCTTTTCCTGTTAACATCCTCAAGACTTTGAACAGATCACCCATTAAACTTTAAATACTTGGAGAAAAAAAAAAAAGTCCTATTTTGTGTAATCTTTCCTCATACCTGGACTTCAGGGGTTTATATTATCATTGTTGTAATCCTACATTGTACTCCCTCCAAGGCCAATATATCCTTCCTAAGGTGTGGTGCCCAGATCTGTTCAAGGTACTTCAAGTGGGGTCTAACCAGGGTTTTATATAACTGCAACATAATTCAGCATCCTTGTACTCCAGTCCACTAGATATAAAGGCCAGAGTTCCATTAGCCTTTCTGATTATTTTCTGCACCTGTTTATGACATTTTAAAGGATGTACACATCTAAAGCCTAAGTCTTTTTGTACATCCCCCATCATTAACTTCACACCATCTAGAAAGTACCCTGATCTATCTATCTTCAGTCCAAAATGGATAACCTCACACTTGCTTATGGGGCCTAGGAAGCACATGGAGATATTTTTAAAAATCCAAAGACGGCTATTTGACTTGTCACATCAACATGGGTCTCTACAAGAGCAATTCGCCTCGTGTTACTTTGCCATAGCATAATGATCCAATTCCCTTTTGAGTGCCATGATCAGAACTGCCTCAACCACACGCAAAGCAGTGCATTCTGATTCTAACTACTTCCTATAAATAAAAAGGTATTTCTCATGACACCACTGCTTCTTTTACGGTTACCTTAAATCTGTGCTCTATTTCTTGATCCTTCCAGTTAGGCAAACATTTTCTCCTCCTTTCGTCTACTGCTTCGTAACTTATATTTAATTCTATCAAATTTCCTTTCAACTTTACCTTCTCGAAGGTAAAACGACCCAGTTTTTCCAGTTTCTCCACACAACTCGTATGGAACGATTCTCAAGTAACTTTTCTGCACTCTCAAAAATGCCTTTACATCTTTCATAAACCTGTGGTGCCCAGAATTGGTATCAGTGCTCCAACTGAGTGTAAACCAATGTTATCAAAAAGTCCTCTTTTGTAGTCCATGCCCAGATTGTATAAAGCTCAGGAACTCATGCTTTTGCAAGCACAGTCTCGATCTGTCCTGCCACTTTTAAAATTTGTGCACATATGTCCTCAGGCCCCTATGCTCTTTTACTTCTTTACTAGTGTACCTTTTTTAAAAAAAACTGTCTCTACACCTTCCTACCATCATTTCATACTTTCCTACATCAAACTCAAGTCTGCCAGTTGTTTGCCTATTCTACCAACCTGCTCGTATTTTATGAATTTTAATACCATTCTGAGCATAGCTCATAAAACTTCTAAATGCAACTTTGAAATTGTACCCTGTAAACCAAAACCCAGATTATTAACACACATTGCAGAACAATGCAGTCCTAGCACTGAACTCCAAAAGAATTCTATTATAAAACTTGCCCTAACCCCCAAACGACTAGCACTAATCTGTTTTTATGCCTTTAAAAAAAAATTCTGTCTTCGTGCTGCTACCACTCCCTTTATTCCGAGCTCTAATTGACAGGCTTTGTTGGTGGAATTTTATCAAATGCCTTTTGGAAGTTCGTGGACATCACACCAACTCTTTGTCAACTTAAACTCAAGCAAGTTAGTTAAATGCAATTTGCCCCTAAATTCATACTGCTTTGCCTCAGTGAAACCACATTTCCCCAAGGAGCTACTAATTTCGTCCTATATCATCATTGTAAAAATATCCCCTACCTAGGTTAAATTGATTAACCTATAGTTGCTGGGCTGAACTTAGCACCTTGTTTTGAACAAGCACCTAATGTGAAGACCGTATCTTTTTATTTTTCTGTATTTTTGATTGTGAAGATAGTCAATTTAATTCTCCTTGCCAGTTGCTGTAAGTGGTAATTTTTATTAGTACAGAGACCATTACAAGTGTGAACCAGTCACCTTATGCCACCGGCAGAGAAGTGAAAATATCTAGAGAAGGGAGACAGAGAAGCAACATTCCAATCAGCAAAAAGATCTTAGCAATTGATGCAGACAAGGATCAACGAATGCTTTCCTAGTCTTTCCCTCAGTCCATAATACTCCATGCACGAGTCTCAGTGTGTGATATATTAGGGAAAAAAAGGGGTTAATTCACAGAATTATTATAGTACAGAAGGAAGCTATTCAGGTCATCGTGCTTGCATCAGCTCTATTTTCTAGTGCCGCTCTCTTGACTTTTCCCCATATCCCTGCACATCAGTACAATCCAAAAAGAAAGCCATCCAATATCATCCTCAATGCCTTAATGACATTTCTAGTCAGTGCATTCAACATCCTTGCTGAGGAAAAGACTTTTCCACATTTCACCCTTGCTTTGTTTGCAAATCACATTAAAACTATGCCCTCTTGTTTGAGCTTCTTTTACAAGTGGAAACAGCTTCACCCCAGCTCACTCATGATTTTAAAAACACCAATCAGATCTCCTCTCAGCCATCTCCTCTTCTTGGAGGACAGTCCCAACTTCTTCAATCTAACCTCGTAGTTGACGTTTTGCATACCTGAACTATTCTAGTAACACTTTGCAATGCATTTGAATCTTTCTTATAATGAGAGGCCCACAACTGTACATAATACTTCAGCTGAAGTCTAAAGAGTGCCTTGAACAGATACAAAATCATCTTCTTGCTCTTGTAGCCTATGTCCCCTTAAAGTTTTAACTTGTAAAATTATATGCTGGCAATTCATAATTATTTACTTGTAGCTGGAGTCTATTTGAATAAATAGTTAAGTACAAAACAAGTCCATGCTTTCTGCCAACTGGTGTCTGAAAGTTAGGTAAATTATGGACTTTTTAAATTCTTTTAACTTTTCTGACGACCCCAGAAATAGCAGGGCTCGATTTCCAATGTGCTATCCAGCGACGCATAACAGTAACGTTTGTAATTCTCCTGTCCTCTGGCATGACTCCCGTATCCAGGGAAGATTTGAAAATAATGCAATTTTCACCTTCATTTCCCTCAGTATACTTGGACACATCTCACCTACTCCTGGTGCCTTTTCAAATTTAGGTACATAAAACGTAAGGAAGCAAATTTACTGTAGCCAAATTTGCTGACAACACAAAATTGGGAAAAGACAAGTTGCAAGGGGAATTAATTTAGAGAGATACTAATAGGTTAAGTGGGCGATAAGTTGGCAAAGAGTATTGTGAAAAAATGTGAAGTTGTTCATTTTAGAAGGGAGAACAGAAGACTTCGGTATTATTTAAATGGAGAAACACTGCAGGAAGCTGGAACACAAAAGGGACTTGGGGGTACGTGTGTAAAAAAACAAAAAACATGCCACAGGTGCAGCAAATAATCAGGAAGACTAATGGAATGTTGGCTCTTATTTCAAGGAGTTGGGAGTATAAGAATAGGGATGTCTTACTGCAATTGTACAAGGAATAGATGAGATCAATTCTGAAGTCCTGCGATCAGTTTTGGTCTGCTTATTTATAGAAACGTATTATTTCATTGGAGGCAGTTCAAGAAGGCTCATTAGGGTGATCCCTAGTATGGAGGGATTTTCTTATGAGCAAAGGTTAAACAGGTTGTGTCTCTCCTCACTGGAGTTTAGAAGACTGAGAGGTGATCTCACTGAAACTTACAAGACTCTTAAGGGGTTTGACACGGTAAATGCTAAGAGGATGTTTCCACCTTGAAATTGTTTAAAACCAGAGGGCAGTCTCAGACTTGAGGCGGAGATGAGGAAGAATTTTGTTTCTCAGAGGGTTGAGTGTCTTTGGAACACCATGCCAGAGAGCTGCGAGGGTAGAGCACTTGTGTATATTTAAGGTGGAGATAGATTCTTGATCAGTAGGCAAAAATCAAGGGTAATGGGGAAAGGGAAAGGAAGTGGAACTGAGGAATGTCATATCAGTCATAATCTAATTGAATGGGGAGAAGGTGCGATGATTTCACTCAGTTGGTTGGATGGCTAATTCGCAATAGAGTGACACTAAAAAGGAGTGGGTTCTCAACTTCTAGCCTCGCTTGAGGTGTGGTGACTCTCTCTCAAACCAACAGGCAGATCTCTCCAATAAGACAGCAGCTCTATGGTCTGGTAAGACTATGGTGACTTGATTTTTTATTTGGAGCAGGAAAATGTTAAGCTCAAGTATTATCAAATTCCAGAAAATTATTTCAGTACTAAGCATGAAAGACAAATAAAGTAGGCATCAGGAACAAAAACAGAGTGGCATTGTAAATAAATGAGATTTGTTTCAGAATAAAATGACATACTTCTTGGAAAAGATTGCATCATCTTCTTTGATTTCATTCACAATTGGTTTGGGAGGTTCTTCATTCTCTTCATCTTTTTCATCTACAATTGAAAAAAAAAAAGAGTTTAGAATAGGAAGATGAAGCAACACAATAGTTATAATAAAGAAAGAAGAGAGAGGCTAAATAGATTGCTATTGGGATGACAAACCAAATGGTCTGGCTTGATGTAACATCTCCAAGATAAATACATGATTACTGGGTTGTCATGTCACAATATTACTAGGTCATACAATTTAGTTTTGCTGTCTGACAATAGATTGGTTTGATTAAAAATCTAAATGCATTCTCTCCACTATTCAGCATTAAGATCAAAACCGAAAAGCAAAATGTATAAAAATCACCTACTGCAGGAGTAATGTGTGCCACATTAGGCTATGGGTAAGATGTGCCTCTCTCTGCTAGTTCAAATAATAACATGGTGATTTAAAAGAAAATCAGATCTCAGATATTGGATTACCAGAAAGGCCAGCATTTACTGCCAATTGCTAGAAAGATTGGTTTGGATTTTACTCTGTGAGCAAGTTGAGCGCATGGTGGCTGTGCATAAGCTCCATTGTAGCAGACTCCAAAAAGGAATTGCCCGAGAAAATTAGCTTTCTCTAAGCAATGTCTTTATGCCTAGAACACTCTACAAGTATCCATAAAACAAAACCCAGAATGAAATTAAGTAAAATAGTTACGCAGGGGAAGTTATACAATTAAAAACAGTTTTTAACTATTCAATTGAACCCATATGTACTTCAACCCTGCACCACCCCTCTCTGCAAAACTACACCACACCCAAACCCTGACACCACCCACCCACTCACCTTACCCCCGCCAACCCTTACTTCCCATAGTTTTCTCATCCTACGTCAGACCTGACCCCACCACACACTGCATCTCGTCATCAGAGCTGGCCCGATCTGCCACCAGACCCAACTAACCCATTCCCTTTGTCCTGCCAGAGCGAACAGCTAAACATAGGATGTTAAATGTGGATAGGTATCCACCACTTCAAGATACAGTGAAGACAAAGAAAAATAGGATTAGGGGCTGATCACCAAACTTGCATGAGTAACTTTAAGCTTGTGGTTTGTTTCATGGTTTAAGATAAAATGCAACACTCTTAGAGATGAGAAATTAAACTGGTGATAGTGAACAGATTGAAGCAATTAGGGCAAAGGATGGTTACACATGACCCATTGAGTATACTGATCCAATTAGCAATATTACAAGTTTAGAATAAACGCAGCACTCTCATTGAAAACATACAAGATTCTGAAACGGCTAGGGTAGACACTGAAGTTTACTTTCCTGACTAGAGAATCTAGGTCATGGTGCATAGCCTCAGGATTGGGGACAGATCATTTAGGAATGAGACAAAGAGAAACCTCTTCATTCAAAGGGCTATGACTCTTTGGATTTCAGGATCCACATGGTGTGGATGTTCCATCACTGAACATAATTAAGACTGAAATGGACAGATTCAACATCTCAGGGAATCAAGGGATAAGGGATGCGGACAGAAAGATGGATTCAACACCAATGATCATGATCATACTAAATGGGAGAGCAAAGTTGATGGGTCAACTGGTCTATTGTAGCTCCTATTTATGTGCTTATGTAACAGTTTGTAAATCCATTGCTGCAGAATGTAGTTTCATTCAACTAAACTTACACTCTTAAAATTTGACATTCACACGAGCATTTTGCTTTGTCAAATAAAAAATATAAATCAAACAATTCAGAAGGTATAATGCCTGAGTATTTGCAAGATTTTAGCAGCAAACTGCATTCCCAATTTATAGCCTGTCAAGAATATAATCGCCAAAGCTCAGTGCACTATCGAATACATTGGAAAACATTTTCCCAACTTATGCCCAGAGTAGTACTTTTGACGGTTTCAACGCAGGACTTCCCTGCAAAAAAAAAAAAATCACAAATGCTCCGCAAACAAATAAGCCACTTGGTGTAACAGGGTATGTTAACGCTGGACATGAGCTTCCTTATCAGAAACCATAACATTACCATTTTACCCTTACATATTCATCTGATTTGGCTTCAAATTTATGATATTCACTTCAGCTACTCTATAGTAGCATATTCTACACGCTCACAACTCTAACAAATTCATTCATGAAGTTAGTCACTTGCTTATATTTATGGACCCTAGTGCTGCCTCTTCACACAGTGGAAACCTTTCTCTTCATGCCTACATGATCTTAAAAGAACTTATTCATATCACCCTTAGACTACACTCAGTCCTAGTTCGCTGTGTGGGACAATGGCATGAACATCCCGTGAATAACAAAAATCTTACATCTCTATGTACTGCAATGTTTACCAAGATAGACTAGACATGAGAATGGGCCAAATGGGAAAAAGGAGATTTGGGGCTGACCGAGTACACGGATCTGTGGGTAGCAAATCTGCAGATCAACGAGGGCTGAGCACACTCGGAGGAAAGAATTCCAGCCTGTTCAATCTTTGTTTATTAGGTACAATTGGACCTGGCATGTCTTTCTCTTTACAGCATCTTCTCCAGCTCTATAGTATTTTATATGGAGACCAGAATGATACAGCATGCCAAGAGTGATCGAATCAGGATTCCATAGATACTTAACCCCCAATATCTCTGCTTTCAAATTTGATCGCTTTAGGTATGAACCGCAGTACTTAATTTGCTCTTTCCGGCCATATTAACCTGCATTGCTAATTCTAGTGATGTGTGTATCTATCGTTACCTCCAGATTCTCCTGTTATTCTATCTTAGTGAGTAAGTTGGTTCCTTATCCTTCCAAAATGTATCAACTCACACTTATCTATAATGAAATCTGTTTGCCAATTACATAACCACATTGCAAGTTTATTAGTGTCTTCCTGTACTTTGGCCAATCTTCTGCTGTATTAACTGTACCTAAATGGGGTGCTGAAAATGTATCTTCGATTGTAGAATCCAAATGTAAATGACCAGTAGTCTCAGCAAATATCACTGCAAAACATCACTTCCAACTGCTTGCCATTTTGAGCATTGGCACTCCACATTTAAACTTGCCCCGTTTAGCACTGTTTCACTTTAAGGCCAATAAGTTTGGTTTTAACCTCAAAGCCACAGCCGTGGAACCCTGGATCCCATGAGCTTTTACCATCTTTAATCAGTTTCCCTATGTGGGACCTTGTCAAAGGCCTTGCTGAAATCCATATAAAATACAATCAATTGCATTACCATCATCCAAATTCTTGGTCACCTTAAAAAAAAAATCTGGAGGAATGTTTCAAGGCATGATTTTCCTCTGTGAAAGCTATGCTGACCATCTCTGATCAAAATTAAGCTCTCTAAACGGAGATTAATTTTTCTCTTTCACTACTTTCTTCAACCTGTTCCCTACCACTGATGTTGGACTCAATGGTCTATAATTCGCTGGTCTATCCAATCAGTTTCTGGCGATAGGCAACTCCCTTGGATGTTGGGTAGTGGATGTTTCCACTACAGCAATGCAATGTCAAAGGGAGAGGTTAGATTCACTCCTGTCAGAGCTGATCATTGCGCGGCACTTAAGTGACAAGTAATATTTGCGCCATACATCAGCCCAAGCATGGACGTCCAGGTCTTGCTGTGTATGGACATAGGTGTTTCAATATCCGAGTTGAAATGATGCGGAGTATGCACTTCTGACTTCATGACAGAGGGAGGTCATTGATCAAACAGCTGAATATGTTTGGACTCAGAACACTGCCCTGAGGAACTCCTGCAGAGATGTCCTGTGATGGACATAATTTAATTCTGACAACCAAAACTTTTATGCTAAGTATGACTTGAACTGGGAGAAAGAGTTCTCCCACTACACACCAGTTCTTACCAATTCAGTTTTTCCTAGAGCTTCTTGATGCAACATTTGGTCAAATGCTGCCTTCACAGCAAGTGCAGTCTTTTTTCTAGTCTTCAGCTCTTTAGTCCACATTTGAACCAAAGTAAAGAAAGTGAATTCCAGAGCTGATACCACAGAGACTGATGCCAAATTCAGTCAAAATGCAAATGAAATCAAAATAGACATGGACCAGACCAAGTAAGGGTGTCAGACTTACTTCCCTTAAAAAAAAAAGGGACATTAGTGAACCAGGGGAGTTTTTGGGACGATCAAAAACGGTTTCATGGTCCCTGTTAGGCCAGCATTTAATGCTAGATTTTTACTGAATTTAGATTGCTCTCCCTGCAATGACAGCATTGTAAACCAAGTCCTCAGGTTTTGTCCAGGCTTCTGGTATATCACTCCAGTGACAACCAACTTCCACGTGCATTCCAACAACTCTGGAACTGTCCTGGTTGACCATTTGAAAAAAAAAAGGGTCGAACAGTGACAGAAGAGGAAAATTCTGCAAGGAGCTATTCCTCCAGCCACAGGTTGTTTGTCTCCCATTTTTGCCGAGACATACACCCCACATCAGGCCGAGAAAAGAAAACAATCCTGGCTGAAAGGCACCTTGCTTCTGCCCTCTATTTTCATATGAATTCCAGCCTGAAGTGTTCCACCAGAGGTGAATGCAAGATTTGTGTCAGCTAAACCCAACTCCTTAGCTCGACCTCTCTCTCCCCTTCCATCTCTCTCTCGCTATCACTGCTGGTGTGAAAAATGTAAAACTGGTTTTATTAGCTTTGCTGCTGGACACTTGGTCATTTTTATTAATTACACAATTTTTAAAGTCATCAAGAGATTCATGCTTACTGTTGCGCCGAGCCACATTTCTGGCATCTGCTGCTGGGTTTCTTCCCGAAGGGAACGAGGCTCAATAAGTCAAACTGCCTTATTTGGACAACTAGAAAAAAAAAGGGTTACTTTTGCTCCAACCAAAATGGGAAGTTTTGGAAATGCTCAGCTGGTCTAGCAGCACCTATGCAGGGCGATTCTGGCATTAACAATCTGGCAGAACTAAATGAAGATTGTGGACCTGAAGCTTTGATGGTTTTTCCTCTCTCCACAGAATATTTGAGATCTTCAGAATCTATACTACTTTGCTCTATAAGCTCTACGTGAGGCATTTGAGAGTATACCTAGTTCTAATTTTAAAATGATCAATATTTGTCACAATGCAAAATGTATCTTTCCTGTTAGCAAAGGTCACTTTTGTGGATATAAATAATATCCTTACATTCATACTGTCTTGGGCTCATTTTATAAGATGAGCCCTGTAAGTGATCTATTGCACAAAACATTTCAACGTGGTACGATTTTAGATAAAGCTTTCTGGATATGCGTTTTCTTTCAAAACCAAGGTGATAACTGGATATTGTAGGGGTTGGATTAAAAATACCTTCAAATAAGACCACTAAGAGTTAATTGGACATGACAGCAAGCGATTGAAATAAAGTGGAAAAGTTCGTGGAAAACAGAGCTGATGCAAAAACTGCGTCTTTTCCTCAGACGTAACCACAAGAGACAAAATTGTTTGAGAGAACTGTCCTGTTGGGTCATCACATGGTGCCACCTGGAGATGTTTTTCTGTACAATGGAATGTCTGGAAAAGTACTGAAAGTACCAAGAAACGATAACACAGCATGCAATCTTAAATTCAGATTAGTACTAATATTATGGACTTTGCCCTGTTCATGGGTTTTGCCTCAAAATGGGATTTGCAACTGTAAGAAGGCAGTGAGATTTGTCGTCGACTTAAAGCAGGTGTTGCTATTTACTGCTGAACTTCACCTCGGAGTAAATATTTCCTGCTTTATACATAAAAAAGCAGTATAGCGTTTTATTGTTACATCCCACCGGATCCACTACCAACTATTGACATACGCCTATCCTTTTCTTACACTCAGCTATATTTCCGCTGACTGACTTCAACGTGAAAGAAGAATGGAATTTTTGTTCATGTGACTAAAGCAGTGGGTGGTCTGGAATAATAGTTGCTATCATTATTAACAGAAAATCATTTTAATACATTTGTACAACAAAATTTAATCACCGTTTGGGTTCCTGTTACCATTTACCTATTTTTCCTGATTAACACAGATGTCCTGCCTGAAAAGGTGGCAGGATTTAGGGAGGAAAATTCAGAGTCTCAGTATATGTTCTGGGGAGAAGTTGATCTGATCTGTCCCCAGAAAGCTGCCATGCTGGGTTGTGGATGCATAGGCAAATGGGAGGTAACTCAATTGTGAGATGGGCAATTGTTTCAGCAATGCTGGTCACTTATGAATCACCTACCACCACGGTGTTACGACTACAAATGACAAATCTCTCACTAAATCAGTATTCAATATTGTGACAAGCGAGAAAGCCAAATCTTCTCTTTAGAAACTGTTCATAAAACAGTGTTTGGATACCAGCAAGATAAATTTATAATGCCTTACCTTTCTGAAATTTGCTCAATAGCGCCCTCCAAGAATAACAGTGAAATGTGTTCCTGCTGTAACTATGCAAGATTAAAATTTGGAAACTCTTAACTCTAGCCATTTCTTTACTTACAGGAGGATAAAGAAAAAGAACAGAGTACACTTCATGGCTATCGACAACATATTAGGACTACGTTAGGACTAGGACTACTGAATTTGTAAGTATAAACAGTTTATTGAACAAAGTAGTTAGACAGTATCCATACCTTTATGCTCACTGCTGTTTATTTCTTCTGGTTTTCCTACAGATGCTGTGAAGGAAAACGTTGGAGCTCCAGACTTTTCTTGGTTTAGATCTTTCCCAAATAACGAGCATGAGGTACCACTACTGAAAGAAAAGCCAGTCGAAGGTGGCTTTTCCACTGTCTTCCCAAAGAGGAAGCTGCTGTTCCCATTATTTCCTATTGTAGTCTCGGGTTTCATTTCTGAAGGGAGTGGAATAACATCGTTGGTTTTGACAGCTGAAAAGATAGGTGCTGGGGTTGTCTCTGGTAATGTTTTGGAAACACCAAATGTGTTACCAGATTGCATTTCTGACCTCTTGCTGCTTGTGTCACTCTCTGAACCACTATCAGAGCTGCTGCCATATTTCTGTTCAATGCTCGTCAAATGCTTCTCGTAGTCCCTGAAGATTGGAGTCAAATCACAGAGTGGATTCTCATTGACATGTTTAGTGATCCAATCCCGGACTGAACAATTTAGTGCTGCTAGTTGTTTGTTGTATTCGTTACAGCCCATTTTACTCCGAGTGTTAAGTTGATTAATACCATTTGTTTTTGTACCTATTTCACCTTTCGCCAAGGGGTTTGATGGAGGACCGTTAGACAGAGAAGACCCTACAAAATAAAATTAAATGTTTAATTAGATGGTGAAATAAAATATATTATTGAATTGTTGTAAGCTCTCCAAGTCTTCATAGATCAACAAGTTCTAACCACTATAGATTTTTTTTTAAATAAACAGCCAAGGTAGTGGAGTCCAAAACTAGAGGGCATAGGTTTAAGGTGAGAGGCAAAAGATTTAAAAGGGACCCGAGAAGTAACTTTTTCCATGCAGAGGATGGTGCATATAATGGAATGAACTGCCAGAGGAAGTGGTAGAAGTGAGTAGCGAGTAGAGAGTACAATTACAACATTTAAAAGACAGTTGGACAGGTTCATGGATAGGAAAGGTTTAGAGGGACATGGAACAAACACAGGAAGATAGGACTAATTCAGTTTAGGAAACCTGCTCGGCATGGACAATTTGGATTGGAGGGTCTATTTCCATGCTGTGTGACACCAAATGTAAGTGGTACATAGCATCTATTGTGCACAAAATATACAGGTACACAACACTTAAGTGTGAAGTTCCTCAAATACCTGATTTATTCAATGCTTTTGGATTCCCTGCCCTTCAAAATATATGACAGACAATAGTGAAAAGTTTTAACAACTTAAATAATTTCAGCATGTTAGCATTGATAGCCCAGTTACATGAAATATGTCTTAAGTAACTATGTACAACAGATCGCTTCATCTTTTTAAATGATTCAAAGTCCAACAGCGGTATTGTTTGGTGCTGAGATCAAGTTGGGGTTTGCTGCATATATCAATTATTCAGATACTAGCCTAAAAAATGTAGTATTAAGATTTGAATTATACTAAAACAGTGAGTGTAAGATGAAAATAAAATACAAAGAGTAGAGAAATAGCTCAAAAGTGAACGACTGAAATCAATACCAATATGAGGATGTGATGTTGTGATACATCAGCTGGTGTTACTGGACAAAGTCAGATCTCAGATTTATTTAAAAATTAAATATAATCTCTGAAACATATTCTTCAAGAAGCTGCAGTTTTTTTTTAATTATAAAACAGAACAGAAGTTTATTTCAGAAGAAAAATAAACAAGATGAAATATAGAAGAGTTAGATTAAAAATTATTCTAACAAACAATAAAACAGTTTCAACTCACTTTATGACACAGTTACAAAGGCTCAAGTTGAGACTAGTCACATTTTTTGAAAAATATATATTCACTTATGGGATGTGAGCATCCGTGGCTGGCCAGTATTTATTGCTAGTCTCCAAGTGCCCTTCAGAAGGTGGTCGTGAGCTGTCTTCTTAAACCATCGCAGTCCATATACTGTAGGTTGACCCACAATGCCTTTTTGATCCAGCGACAGCAAGAGGAAAGGTGACAGATTTCAAAGTCAGGATGGTAAGTGGCTTAGAGAACTTGCAGGTGGTGGTGTTCCTCTGCATTTGCTATCTTTGTCCTTCTAGACGGAAGTGGTCATGGGTTTGGTAGGTGCTGTCTAAGGATATTTGGTGAATTTCTGCAGTGCATCTAGCAGATAGTACAGACTGCTACTACTGGGTGCCAGTGGAGAAGAGATTTGGATGTTGTGGATGCAGTGCCAGTCAAGTGGGCTACTTTGACCTGGATGGTGTCAAGCTTCTGTGTGTTGTTGGAGCTGCACCTATCCAGGCAAGTGAGGAGTATTCCTTCACATTCCTGACTTGTGCCACATAGATGGTGGACAGGCTTTGGGGAGTTAGGAGGCGAGTTACTCATCGCAATATTCCTAGCCTCTGACCTGTTTTTTTTTTTTTTAAAAAAAAGCCATGGGGCTTATCTGGTGAGTCAAATTGAGTTTCTGGTTAATGCTAACTCCTGGATGCTGATAGTGAGGGGCAATGTCAAGGGCCTGCGATTAGATTTTCGCTTATTGGAGATGGTCAGTGCCTGGCATGTGTGTGGCATGAATGTTATTTGCCACTTGTCAGTCCAAGGCTGTATACTGTCCAGATCTTGCTGCATTTGGACTTGGACTGTTTTGGAATCCGAGGAGTCTCAAATGGTGCTGAACAATATGCAGTCATCTGTGAACATCCCCACTTCTGACATTATGAAGAGGTGGCCATTGATGAAGCAGCTGAAGATGGTTGGGCCTAGGACACTATCCTGAGGAACTCTTGCAGAGATGTCCTAGAATTGAAATGACTGATCTCCACCAAACATAACCATCTTCATATGCGCCAGATATAGCTCCAAATAGAGTATGCCCTGATACCCCTCGATTCCAGTTTTGCTAGGGCTGCTTGATGCCACATTCAGTCAAATGCAGCCTTGATTGTCAAGGGCTGTGACACTCACCTAACCTCTGGAATTCAGTTCTTTTGTCCATGATTGAACCAAGGCTTGGAAGGAAGTCAGGAACTGAGTGGCCCTGGCAGAACACAAACTGGGTGTCACGGATTGGGTTATTGCTGAGCAGGTGCTGTTTGATAGCGCTGTTGATGACACTCTCCATCAATTTACTGACGATGGAGAGTAGACTGATGGGGTGGTAATTGGCTGGGTAGGATGTGTCCTGCTGTATGTGCACAGGATAAGCCTGGGCAGTTTTCCATATTATCAGGTAGATATCAGTGTTGTAACTGTACTGGAAGAGCTTGCCTAGGGAAGCGGCAAGTTCTGGAGCCCAAGTCTTCAGTACTATTGCCAGAATGTTGTCAGGGCCCATATGCCTATGCAGTATCCAGAACATCCAACTATTTCTTGATATCACAAGAAGGAGGCCAAGATGGATCATCCATTTGGCACTTTTAGCTGAAAAGTGCAGTGAATGCTTCAGCCTTATTTTAAATCAGTGAGGCACCCACCTCAACTGACACCTATAGTTTCTTTGTCATGGACTGTGGAGGCAATTTGAGCCCTTTCTAAGTTTACTGGCACGAACCTTTTCCGCAAATCTGACAGCCTAAACCTTTTCAGTTCTAATAGATTTTGAACCAAACTCTGTTTGGAAAGCAGCCCAAATAAACCTCTTCTGCTGAGGCAAGTGGTTCCCTGAACTACTTCTAGGAGTTGAATTCAGAAACAAGCTGAGTTTAACTCTGGTGTTTTCTGAATTTAACTAAAAACTGTCCTCAATCCGACATTGTTTGGAGCTCTAAACAAAGCTAAGGGCCTTATTATTTTTTTAAAAATACGCTGCCTGCTGCAAGCCCTGCAGTATAAACTACAGGTCCGCAGTCACTGGCCTTCTGACAAATGGTGCATTTAGATCATTGTTGCAGGAGGACTTGCTGACTTTAAGAAAAGGAAACACTTCACATAAGTAACTAACACCCATATGTTAGATTTCAAGACGATACTCTCTCCCTTTCAATCACAATTGTGCTTCACAGTAAAAATAAACAATACTAATCAGAGACGTCGGGGTTCAGGTACATAGTTCCTTGAAAAGCTGCATCAATAGGTAGGGTGGTGAAGGTGTCATGTGGCACGCTTGCCTTCATTGCTTAGACCATTGAGTACAAGAGTTGAGATGTCATGTTGTGGCTGTACAGGACACTTTTGGGGTACCACATACAGTTCTGGTTGCCCTGTTATAGGAAGGATATTACCAAATTGAAAAGGATGCAAAAAAAAAAAAAAAAAAAGACTTACAAGGATGTTGCTGGAACGGGAGGGTTTGAGTTAAAGAGGAAGGATCGGTTCTGGGTTCTCTTTTGTTTGTCATTTATATAAATGATTTGAATGAGAATATAGGAGGCATGATTAGTAAGTTTGCGGACAACAACATATTTGGTGGCATAGGAGACAGTGAAGAACGTTTTCTAAGATTACAACGGGATCTTGATCAAATGGGTCAATGGGCTGAAAAACTGTAGATGGAATTCAATCTGGATAAATGAGAGGCATTGTATTTTGGTACAACAAACAAGGGTAGGGCTTATAAATTAATGGTAGGGGCCTTGGATAGTGTTGGTGAACAGAAAGGCACCTATGGGAGCAGGTACATAATTCTTTAAATTTTGCATCACATTTGGACAGGGCGGTTAAAAAAGGCATTTGGCACGCTCGCCTTCATTGTTCAGTCCTTTGAGTCTAGGAGTTCGGAAGTCATATTGAGGCTGTGCAGAACATTGGCGAGACCTCTTCTGGAATGCTGTGCCCAGTTCTGGTTGCCCAGTTATATAGGAAGGATATTATCAAGCTGGAGAGGGGTCAGGAGAGATTTGCCAGGATGTTGCTGGGTATGGAAGGTTTGAGTTAAAGAAAGGCTGGATAGGCTGGGATGGTTTTCACTGGAGCGTAGGAGGTTGAGAGGCATCCTGATAGAAGTTTATAAAATAATCAGAGGTACAGATAGATTTAATGGTAGCTGTATTTTCCCTAGAATGGGGGATTTCAAGACTAGGGGGCACATTTTTAAAGGTGAGAGGAGAGAGATTTTAAAAAGACTAAAGAGGCAAAGAGGATGGTGCTATATGGAATGAACTGCCATTGTAAGCGGTAGGTGCAGGTACAGTTACAACATTTAAGGGACATTTAGACAGATACATGAAGAGGAAAGGTTTTGAGGGATATGGGCCAAATGCAGGCTGACGGGACTGGTTCAGATTTGGAAACCTGGTCACCATGAACGAGTTGAACCGAAGGGTCTGTTTTCATGCTATATGACTAATTACACACTGAATTGGAATACACTGTCCTGCAGAAGAACAAACAGACAGAAAGACAAGGAAGTTTACATAACATTAAAATAAAGCAGCCTCTTAAATTGCCAAGTATGCTTTAAAAAAGGCCGATAGAATTCTACAGATCCACTGCAATGACTGGTGTAAGGATATACAAGTATGAAGAAAATCTTCAAAATGAAAAGTGCTACTTTCATTACTTGTTCATGGGATGTCAGCGTTAGTGGCAGGGCCAGCATTTATTGGTCACCCAGAGGTGCACTCAAGAAAAGGTGAGCTGCCGTCTTGAACTGCTGCAGTCTATTTGGTGTCAGTACACCCGCAATGTAGTTACGTAGGGAGTTGCAGATTACCGTGTGATTATAACGGTCTAAACGTTTCATAATTTAACTAGAGTAGATTAAAGCAGTAATAAAAATTCCTAGATGGAGAAGGAATTGATAAATTTAATATTGTAAGAGATTGAGAACACAGGGTTTGTAGCTCAGGTCAGAAACAATATCAACATTCAAGATTAGATCGGATAGTGGATGAAGGAACAGGCTTTCAAAAGAATGTGGCAAGGAAGTGTTTAAATACAATTTGAACAACTTGGTCACATGTGTACATGCTGGCAAAGCCTGACAGGATCAAAATGATTTGGTTTTCAAATTGTAATTAGTATATTATCCTGCAGAAACTATGGGCAGAAAGCAATTTATTAAAAATTCATCAGTTCAGACCAAATACAAAAACAACCAAAAAAAGCAAATGATGTCACCAATTGAGGACTTATTGCCCAACTTTTCAACATTGCCCAGTATTAAATGGGGTGGGAAGAGAAGAAACAGTGCCTTTGCTGAAAAAGAAAATGAATTCAGCAATTAAAAAGGCATTTGCATACTTACCCACTGCATCATTTACATCAGTAGCACAACTAAGGGCAGACGTTGAAGAGGACGATGATGCATTGCTTCCATTGGATAATCCTTGCAAAGGCTTGAAACCAGATCCATTTCCAAATCCTCCAAAACCAGTATTTCCAGTTGAAGTAAGACCAGAGAATCCTTTGAAAACTCCACCACCATCAGACTGGCACATTTTAAAAGAAGAAAGGTTAGCATGACATTTAATATACCAAAATTCACTAACTTATTAAAATCTACATTTTGAACTTTATGTGTAGAAATGCTTGACACCACACCTGGTGTTGAAGTCATCAACAAATTATTAAAATTAACCACTATCGCATTGTACAAGGATAAAATTTTATTTTTTTTGAATAGTTAGACACTTGTATCATGCAATTACAAAAACTCAGATTATTCATGCCATTAATGGAGCGAGGTTCCAAAATTGTTTGTTTTGACAAGCCTCTCGGCACATCCCTGTGCAAGTTATATTTAGGTATTTTAGGGGCCAGCAAAATTTCCATTAATATAGACTTTTAATGGAGAAATGTCTTAAGGGGCTCATGGGAGAACAGTTATCAAGAGATAACACAAAAAGTACAGATAAACATGCTGAAAGGTTCATTTCCAGGAAACTTAAGGCAGAAAGGAAAAAAAAAGTAACACTTCAATAACTACATTATAGATGTGAAGGAAGGAAGGAACTAGACAGCAGCCAGAAGGTCCACAGCATAGGCAAATGTGACAAATCAAAATGTGACATTGGCACAGGGGTAAGGTGTGACTAGCAAGTAGGAAGCGATCACTTTTACTTTCTAGTTTCCTGTTGATGATAAGTAGTCTGAGAGGTTAAGACATGTCAGGGCAGCTTGGCTACATGGAATGCATGTCCTAGATCACATGGGAAGGTTTGGAAGCCACCCACTGTCTAACCAAACACATGCACAGGAACAGTCATCAGCTTTCCATCTCTCAAAAAAAAAATCCATTTACCCTTACTCAGTGTTTCCTCTAAGCTGAGCAATATTTTACTAAATGCCAAGGTTATACAACCTACACCATAAGCACATATTGTGTAGCAACTGTTGGGTGTTCCATTTTACCCAAAGCCTTTTGGAAAACCAACAGCAGAACAAGTATGGGTCCCCCTTTATACACCTTGCTTACTCACTCAAAGAACACTCAAATTATTCATCTTTGAGCAAGGAAAGAAAAGGGTAATGATTGAAAGGGGTGGGAGGAAAGGAAATGGATACGGACGTGAAGAAGGAAAAATGTGACAAGAACAAGAGTGCATTTCACAAGGGAACTATAATGTGTAAAAATGCTGAGGCAATCTCCAATCCAAATGCTGATTGGAAAGTAGCACGTATGCCAGTCTACAGAAGAAAGGAAGTTAAAAGTGGGGATGGAAGCCAGGTCCACGGGCAGAAAAATAGACAAGCCAAAGAAAGTCAGAGACTTGAAACAGGTAAAAGCATGGTCGTATTATTAAACTTGAGGCATCCAGTGTCACAGGAGATCAACTAATAGTATTTATTAAAGGCTATTAATGGTCAGATTTCACAGAATTGGGAATACAATTCTGAAATTTAATCTCAAAGCACCAATGAAAATCAAAATGCATTAACTAAGCATTTGAACTATTCACCACCATAAAATTGGATTCAAATATCAACTGCAGAAATTAATTGGTAGTGAATCATTTAACAGAGTTTAAGTTTTAAATCTTAGTTGTACATCGTAACTGATAATTTCTTAATGCCCCCATTTAAAAAAAAACACAAATTACCACTTGCACTTTGAAGCAATCTTATACTTATTCATGTTTTGGAAATGCTGCGTTATTTCAATCATTCTAATGTTCCTAAGTAAAAAGGTACTTTGGTATTTAAGACCATGGGACTACATCAGCTCTGAACCACTGGAATGGCAGAAGACAGAATGTAGCAGACGGCAATAACATGGACAGCTTCTTTAAGCTTTTAAGGGCACAAAAGTGGCAATGGAGCTTCCAAATCACAGGCAATGTCAGAAGAGATCAATTAGCAATTCAGACAGTTTCATGCAGATGCATGAAATATCACTATCGTTTTTTTTGCTAAAAGTGGTTTGTGATCTTGATGAGTGGGATGAATATTGACCAGGACACCTCTCCTGCTCTGCTCCAAAATAGTGCCTTCACAATCCTCGTACCAATTTAACAGGACCTTAAAAGTTATTCAAAGTTAGCAGAAGATTACACCTAGGAAGCACCAGAGAAGTGTAATTAGAGGGGCAAAAAAAAAAAAGAGAATTATTAGATACCAGCATTGGTTCGCTACTCAAAAGAGAGATTGCCTGGTTTGAAAAACAGCCATAAAAGCAGGCAACCTAACAATCGTGCACTGAAAAAAATATATTTTGAGCATAACCTTGCTGCAGTTGTACTACAATCATAAATCAGCTAACACTGACGTAATGGGCAACCAAAAATATGAAGATTGGGTTGACTCCTTTGATTGTAAAGGTAAACCAATGCTTATTTTCAATCACTAAAACCAAATTTCACAATGGCATTGTTTGCATGAAGCAGCTACAGTTTTAAATGGCATGTGGAATTTCTACAGGCAATCCATTCTCTTTGGTGAACGGCCATGTCTCTGGTGTGAGAGGAAAGACTGTTTTTGCAGCGTTTTTAAAATTTATAAAGCACAACTGTACAATCATGACTTTGAAGAATCCAAGAAATCAAAATGAAATTGACCTTGATGCTGTAATTACAGTCAAGGCAAGGTTGTCATAGTCCCAAAGGCCTGTATGGCTCTCACTGTGGAAGAGACAACTGGTGGTGGTTTAACCAGAGGGTCACTATGCCTCAGGCAAGGTTGAGAAGGCTGTCCTTTACGGTAAGCTCAGCCAGTGTGGAAATTGAACTCATGCTGTTGGCATCACACTGCATCACAAACCAGCCATCCAACCAACTGAGCTGGCCACCCACAAGCTAAGCACTACTGATGTAGAAACTGAGAAAACAAAGTGATCTAACTATGTGGAAATTTAAGACTCCCTATGCTGAGCCAACAACATGAAAAACAGCACCTAGCAATGACTAGAATTTATCAAACTGCAAAATCTGCTTGCTGGTGAAGAAATGCTTATAAATGAATTTGGGGCTGTTCCTTCTGCTTAGAAATTAATTCATTCCTAGAGAATTATAAACTGCAATCTTTAAATACTGGCAGATCTGTATAGTGTCACGTTATTGCATAAGAACTAAAAAAAAAATTGGAATAAAATGGTGGAAAAGTGTTCAAAAGTGGTAAACAAAAAAAGGCGAACTGGTTTAACTGTTCTTATGTTGATAAAAGGAAAGAAATGTGAAAATTAGAAGCACCAATTTGGCAGAATTTACAATCAAGACCAGATAGCATCAGTTAGCACAACAGGGTCCGAGTTAATGCTCGATTGTGCTGTGCCAACAACGAGCATTAAATTTAAAAAATACTACATATATCTAAAATAATCTGGGTTAGATTGCGAATTATGTGACTGACAAAAAAAACAAAGTTGCACGCTGGAAATTACAGGCATTCTGGCTAGGTTTGCAGGCGATACAAAGATAGGCAGAGGGACAGTTAATATTGAGGAGGCAGGGAGCTGCAGAAGGATTTGGACAGGTTAGGACAGTGGGCAAAGAAGTGGCAGATGGAGTACAATGTGGTAAAGTGTGTCATTCACTTTGGTAAGAAGAATACAGGCATAGACTATGTTCCAAATGGGGAGAAAATTCAGAAATGTGAAGTGCAAAGAGACTTGGGAGTTCTATTCCAGGATTCTCTCAAGGTAAACTTTCAGTTTGAGTCAGTAGTTAGGAAGGCAAATGCATTTATTTATTTTGAGAGAACTTAAATATAAAAGCAGGGATGCACTTCCGAGGCTCTATAAGGCTCTGATCAGGCCACATTTGGAGTATTGTGTCCAGTCTTGGGCCCCATATCTCAGGGAGAATGTACTGGCCCTGGACCGGGTTCAGAGGAGGTTCACGAGAATGGTCCTAGGAATGAAAAGCTTAACATGAGGAATGTTTGAGGATTGCGGGTCTATACTCAATGGAGTTTAGAAGGATGAGGGAGTATCTAATTGAAACTTAGAATACTGAACTGCCTGGTCAGATTGGATGTTGGGAAGATGTTTCCATTGGTAGGAGAGACTAGGACCTGGGGGCATAGCCTTAGAGTAAAGGAAAGACCTTTTAGAACGGAGATAAGGAGAAAAGCCAGAGACAGTGATGAATCTATGGAACTCACTGCCTCAGAAGGCTGTGGAGTCCAGGTTTTTGAGTATATTTAAGACAGAGATAGATAGGTTCTTAATTGTCAAGGGGATCAAGGGTTACGGGGAGAAAGCAGGAGAATGGGGTTGAGAAACTTATCAGCCATGATTGAATAGTGGAGCAGACTCGATGGGCTGAATGGCCTAATTTCTGCTCCTATGCCTTATGGTCTAAGATATTCCTTGCACCAACAAATCTATCAAAACAATCAGATTATAATTTAATGTGTATACTTTGAAAAGATTATAGATGTGGGCACTGTGGATGGGTATTTTTCAGCACTCAAATTTCAATGAAGTAAACAAATTCCTACCAATGTTTCATAAGTATTTAAAGAAGCTTCAAAAATATTTGTTATTCCAATGTTAAATAATCAAATTGGATCTAAAAAATGTTGCCGAAGACAGTATGCAGTAGTTTTTCATAAGGAATAGGCTGTACTGTTTTAATCGTAAGACTGCTAATGTCAAGCTTCAGACCAACACACAAGATCATTATTTTTATAAGGGCAAGTGCAACATGAGATAGGTTCACAACAAATTGGAATTTAGTTTCTCTGAATATCATAAAACATTCCAAGCCTCACAGGAAAGCATGGTACATTCTGTTACTTACACAAACCCCCAGGATAATTAAGATGGATGGATGCGTAGTACTGTGACGTATTAACAACTTTCCCTTGAGGCACCTGCATTTTCTTGGTAGTGTTCATTGCTTAATGCAAATGTTTTAAAGTCCAAATAATTCTTAGAAGAAGTTTAAATAAGACTACATAACTTTCCCAAAGTTAAAATTCTTCTCAATCATAAACCTCAAATTATTCTGCATTGAACAGTTAAACTTTGAACAGCCAGCGGTTGATAAAAAAGAAATACTAAATAATATTTGATAGGCCATTGCCTTTCCAACACAACTATTCTCTTGTTATTTGACATTTGGATACCTTGTTTTGACATTCCTATTGCTTCTCTCTCTCTCTCTCTCCGTCTGTCTCTCCGAGAACATGCTTGCTAACTTAAAAATCTACATTTTTCCTGGAATTAACACCAGATAATGCATAGGGAGACAAATCTCAAAAAAAGGGAGGGGGTAGGGGTGGAGGTGGGTCAGAAATCCACATTTTCAAATTATTACAAGATTCCTGATTTTGCTCTCAACAACCACAATGTAGCCCACAGCTGCAGTACAAGACTGCAAGGAATTTTTATTGCATTGCTACAATTTCAATGTTATTTGTTCGATTAGACGCGCAAGTTAGCAGTAATCTAAAGATAGTCTAGGACAATCTACGTGGCAATCCCTTTAACTGCAATGCAGAACAGGTGAGAAAAGCAACAGATTATCTTTGCACGATTCTTTGAGATCTTCACAAAGAATCATGTGATTTTTGCCAACTTACAACAGTCGATTTTTTTGTCTTTTTCCATGTTACACAGGGTCTCTACAATGTTGGCTTGTCAACTAAATTAATTTTTTTTGGGAGTGGGGGAAAGAGGTCAAAATATACCAGTGGTTTTCAGCCAAATACCCCTTCAACCACTGACTGTCCTCATTTATCTGGGTTGGAAATCAGCAACTGTTTGATTTTTTTCATAGTGGACGAGTCCTGGTGCAGAACTTGAACTGAAGAGGCCTACCAGCACAGAAGCTGGAAAGCTATCCATTGGGTCCCTTCTATACCTAACTTGCTTCTAGCAATGTACAATGCCAAAATAAACTCAATGTTTTAATGGGCAACAGATTTCTGGGCCAAAAAAATGTTAATTAAGGGTTGAATTTGATTTTTCTTAAAAATCTTATACTATATCAAATCAGAGAAGCAAGCCAATTTAAAACAAGCATTTCCAAACTAGATAGAACTACAAGTCAAAGATTTTTATATTGGATGGGCAAAGGGTTAAGGTCAAGTAGAGGCCCATGGACCACAAGATACGTGCAACAAAAATGTAAGCCTTAAATCAACAGAAAATCTTCATTATAGGTTGATAAACTAACTTCAGCTTTAATACTTTAAAATATAACAACAATTCTTTCATTTTTAAAAATCATGTTGAATAGTCATCCAATGGAAACATACACACCTCAAAATAAACTTAAATTTCTGTTATGAAAACTATCCTTAACTAGGCTTCATTCTCTCCAAAACTCAAGCCACAGGAAGGCCCCATTTCCACACACTGAACTTACAAAAAACTAGATAGCAACATACCTTAACATATTTAACAGTTAGATAAACCAGGTTAAAATGATTCATGGCCAGGAAAATTAGCAGACAATAATGCAGATTTAAATGTCAAGTAAAGATAAAGAAGAATGGTACTTCCGTTTTTGAAAGCCATTATTAGATAATGAAAACAATTTTTATTGGCTTTTAGTAGGTATGGATAGAATCAGTACTTCACTGCAACTTTGAATAGTTCATTAATTTTCTATTGAGAAAATCAAAGTTACAAAAAGTGAAAATATCACATCACTGGAACCGTGATGTCATTAAATTGACAGAATTCAAGGCCTTTTTTTGGGAATATCCTGCTCACATTGATATATTTTGGAAATGAACTTTAACTTGATGCTAGTATGCCTGAGCCATGGAGATGGGGACTGGCTCAATTTCTCGAAATTCGGAAGAGGGAAGCCAAGCTGGGAGAGTGCTTCAATTACATTTTATGTATGGAAGTGAAAAACTTCACAATAATACATTTTAAAAAGTAATCATGCAACTTACCTCAGTGAGAACATTTCTACGTTTTGCTTTTTTGATAGCTCTGTTTTTCAACACATCTTCACTTGCAACTGAGAAAGTACCTGCCTAGAAAACAAAAATACACCTGTCACAAAAAGATGTTAACCAATAATTTCACATCCTGTTATCCACAGTAAGGTGAAGATTTTAAGATGCAATAAAATATCATAACGACCCAGCTGCATTCTCATTCAGAATCCTGGGTTCAGAAGGATTTTTGACCCCAGAATGCAAAGAAGAATAAGGAATTCTCTCTTTACCCAACATAATTTTCCACAGGCAACACTGAAGTTGGGGATTCTCATCTTGATTTTGTGGGACATTGCTATTCTTTACTTGGCCAATGCAATTCTACACAATAATGAAGACACTTTACAAGTGATTATTCAAGGTACTGGAGGATAATATAATACAAGAGAGAGTTCTTCAGCTGTTAGATACTAGCATCACACTGGAAGGATCAGCCAGTATTGGAAAATGGTAGCGTATAGCTCTCCAAGAACAAAATTCTGTGCAGATTAAACACCCAAATGTTTGTTTGTTCATGGCACTGCTAGCCAGCCACTTATTGACCATCCCCAATTGCCCTGGAGAAGGTGATGGCTTACTGCCTTCTTCAACCACTGCAGTCCTTGGGGTATAAGGACACTCACAATTACAAGAGTGGCACTATGTAGTTCCAGCAGACCTTTTCCCTATGATTTCTCGCTAGAAATGTGCCCATCAAGATGCAAGTCCCATTTTTGTCAGGATGATAGTTGTCAATGCTGTATTTGCCTTGCCTTCAACTAACATATCCCAAACAAAACTTTTTGAAATAATCCAGGCTGACATTCTAGTGCAGGAGTGAAGGAGGGGCTACTTTGCTGGAGTTGTTCTTTCAATCAAAACCATTTGAACTGGGAGGTGGGAGCAGAAGTTTGCAAGTTGCTATGTGAACAGCAGCAGCAAGACCACATCACAGAACAGTTACAGCAAGAATAAGGCCATTGCCCCATCAAGCCAGTAACATATCTCATTGGGGCCCCACTTTTTACTTTTCGCCAAAAAGGTTAGAAACATAGAAACAAAGAAGATAGGAGCAGGAGGCCGCCATTTGGCCCTTCAAGCTTGCTCTGCCATTCTTCACGATCATGGCTGATCATCCAACTCAATAGCCTAATCCTGCCTTCTCCCCATAACCATTGATCCCATTCACCCCAAGTGCTATACCTAGTTGCCTCTTGAATACATTCAAAATTTTGGTATCAACTGCTTCCTGCAGTAATGAATTCCACAGGCTCACCACTCTGTGGGTGAAGAAATGTCTCCTCATCTTCGTCCTAGGTTGTCTACCCCGAATCCTCGCACTTTGACCCCTGGTTCTGGACACACCCACCACAGGGAACATCCTCTCTGAATCTAACTTGTCCAGTCCTGTTAGAATTTTATAAGTCTCTATGAGACCCCCACTCATTTGTCTGAACTCCAGCGAAAACAATCCCAACTTAGTCATTCTCTCCTCATATGTCAGATCTGCTATCCCCCGAATCAGGCTGGTAAACCTTCACTGCACTCCCTCGAGATCAAGGGCATCTATTCTCAGAAAAGGAGACCAAAACTGCATACAATATTCCAGGTGTGGTCTCACCAAGCCCCTGTATAACTGCAATAACACATCCCTGCTCCTGTACTAGAAACCTCTCGCAATGAAGGCCAACATACCATGTGCCGCCTGCTGTACCTGCATGCTTACCTTCAGCAACTGGTACACAAGGATGCCCAGGTCCTGCTGCATACTCGACACCCCCACCGACCCCACCTCCCAATTTACAGCCATTCAGGTAGTAAACTGCCTTGTTTTTGCTTCCAAAGTGAATAAGCTCACATTTATCCAAATTATACTGCATCTGCCATTGATTTGCTCACTCACCCAACCTGTCAAGATCATACTGAAGGATCTCTGCATCCTCATCACAGTTCACCTCTCCCACCCAACTTGGTATCATCTGCAAACACAGATGTTACATTTTGTTCCCTCATCCAAATCATTAATATAAATTGCAAATACCCGGTTCCCAGCATCAATCCCTGTGGCACCCTACTAGTTACTGCCTGCCAATTTGAAAAGGACCCATTAATTCTTACTCTTTGTTTCCTCTCTGCCAACCAGTTTCCTATCCATCTCAACACACTTCCCTCAATTCCATGTGCTTTAATCTTGCATGTTAATCTCTAGTGTGGGACTTCGTCAAACGCTTTCTAAAAGTCCAAATATGCTACATCGACTGGCTACCCCTTGTCAACTCTACTAATAGTTACATTTTCATAGAATTCCAACAAATTTGTCAAGCATGATTTCCCCTTCATAAATCCATGCAGACTCTGTCTGATCCTGCCATTGCTTTCTAAATGCTCTGCCATAAAAATCTTGACAACGGATTCGAGAATTTTCCCCACTACCAATGAGGTTCTTCCTCTCAACTGTTTATGCAATTCCTTTTGAAAGTCACAACTGATCTGCCTCCACTACCCTTTCAGACTACATTCTTCAGAATGCTCTCATTTTCTTTTCCTATGATTCCTTTTACATTTTTAAAAAATAAAGCCTTCCACTACTGGGAACGGTTTAAATTTTAATCGACAGAAAAAGCTGGAGAAACTCAGCAGGTCTGGCAGTATCTGTGCTGGTAGAAACACAATAATGTTTTGAATCCAACATAACTCATTAGAATTTATCTGAAGTCAAACTTGAAACATACCGTTTCTCCTTCACAGATGCCACCAGACCTGCCGAGTTTCCCCAGCACTTTGTTTTTATTTTACATTTCCAGCATTCAGAGTATTTTCTTTTTTATTTAAGTTTTATTACTTTCTATCACTGTCATGATTTTGACCACCTCTATAAATAACTATTTTTGCATTTCAATCCATGGAGAACACCACAATAGTCACAGCACGAAGATGCTTCTCATGCTTGTACTGTGAAAGTACACTTCCACGTGGGTTTGGACATATACAGCTACAACAACATTGGAGAAAGTCAATGGCGTCCAGGAGAAATCACCTGCTTAACATTACCCCTTCAATCACCTTAAGCATTCATTATCCCACAACTAGCAAACAGTGGCAGCAGTGTTGACCATTTTTAAGATGCATTGCAGCAACTGGTCAAGCCTCCTTTGACAGCACTTTTTAAATTTTGATTTCTACCATCTAAAAAGGCTGAGGACAAGAGACACTTAGAAACTTCACCATCAGCAAATTTCCTTACAAGCCACACCATCTTGACTTTGAAGAGCAGCACAGTTCTGTCAAAGACCTGGGCCTCCCTTTCATAGCAGCACAGGTGTATCTACACAGGCTGTCTGCAGCAATTCTAGGCAGCAACTTGCTAACATCTTCCCAAGGTTTTGCAATACCCATATTATATGAACAAAAAAAAAAGAGTAAAAATGCTTCTGCTGAGGGTTTGATAAAATTCCATCATAGCTTTCTTGTTTCTATATTCTATACCTTGCCTTATAAAGCCCAAGCCTGTATGCCCAAATAAAAATCCACATGCTTCAAATGTACCCTGCAAACTTTAGTGACTTGTCCACTTAGATCCCTAAGTTAATTACACTTCCTGGTTGTCATCTGCAAACTTTGAGGCTGTGCCTTACACATTCAAAGTTCAACTTATCATGAAAAGCAGTGCTCTTAATACTGACGTCCAAAGAACCCCACTGAATACCTTCCTCTATCTCAAAAAACACAATTACTCATTGCTACTGTTTTCTGTCCTTCAGCCAATTTCTTATCCATTCTGCCAGCAACCCTGTTATCCTGACCAATATTTATTTCACAAGTTGGGTGTGGCATGGTGGGTCAGTGGTTAGCACTGCTGCCTCACAGCGCCAGGGACCTGGATTTGATTCCAACATTTGGTGACTATCTATGTGGAGTTTGCACATTCTCCCCATGTAGGTTTGTGGGTGGTCCAGTTTCCGCCCACAGTCCAAAGATGTTCAGGTTAGGTGGATTAGCCACAGGAAATGCAGGGTTATGGGGACAGGGTAGGATGCTCCGAGAGTCAGTGTGAGCTCAATAAACCAAATGGACTGCTTCTGCACTGTAGGGATTCTATGATTCTAAGTTATAATAGATCATGTCATGATTATATTGTTGCCTGTGAGATCTTGCAGCAAGGAAACTGGATGTGTTAATGCCTGCATTATAAAAACTGGCAACACCAAATTCTTCAAATCCACATTCCAGCCAATACCCTGCCTTAGCCTTGCAGTTAAACACAAATGAAAAGCAAAACACCACATAATACAACATCCACAGCCTTACTAGCCACTAACTCATGCCAGTACGCTCTGCACACCAACATGTAAAAAAAAAAAATCAGGATATTTATATGTTAATTCTGGATTCTTTTTCTTCTGGATGTTGTGCAACAGCTTTGCTACACATGACCTGAGACTAATGTGCTTTTGTTGCCCTGCAGAATTTCCTCTGGGAATTGAATATGGCTGGAAAAATGAAGTAAGGCTGCGTTGATAAGGGATAAATGGATTCAACTTGGATTTGAAATTAGTGTAGTATTTCAGATCATTAGCCTGAAGCCTTGGATCATCTTAGTTCACAGTGAACAGTCCAAGTCATCAAACTGAATGGCATGAATAGCAAATCAAGCAACAATGCAGAATAAAAATGGAGCACAGTCTACCACAGCTTTAAAAAAAAAAGTGAATAATGAGGAGTTTTCTAGAATGTTAACTTTACTGTAGTGACAGGAACCATTAAAATTGGGCTTACCACAGGTTGTCACAGCATTGTTAGAAGGTCATCAAGCACCTGTCTACTCTAGTCCCATTTTCCAGCACTTGGCCCATAGCCTGTATGCTGTGTCACTTCAAAACGATCATCTAAATACTTAAAAACGTTATGATGATTCCTACTTCTCTGACACTCAGGCAGCGATTCCAAACACCCACCACCTTCTGAACAATAAATATATCTTCCTCAAATCCCCTCTAAATATCCTGCCCTTTATTTTAAATCTATGCCACCAGGTTATTGATCCTTTTACCAAGAGGTTAGATTAGAATAATCTTTTCCATGCCCCTCAATTCTGTACACATCTTGACAAAAAAAACCCAAAAAAACACAAAAACAATGCTGAAATTATTCAGTAGCACAGATAGTGTCTATGGAAAGAGAAACTGAGCCAAGGTTGAGTCAATTACTTTTTAATTAGATATCGTCATGTCATTTCATCAGAACATTGACTTCAAACATTAACTGAGTTTCTTTCCCTGCAGATACTTCCTGACCTACTGCCTATTTTCAATATTTCACACAAGTATCAAACCTTATAACATTAAAGTACAGTTTGGTACTGTTTAACTTCAGACTTCTACTTCATGTAAGCTTAAAAAAGCCTCCACTGTCATGGTCTCATGAAACATGTTACTTGCAGGTGATATGCTCCAACAGACACACTGCATTAACATGAATAGGCCACCTGCTATTTCAAGATATAGTTTAAAAAAAGCTCTCTGCTCTATACTGTCTGAGGTATTTGGTGGAAGTTAATTTATGAAAATTTAAAAAAAAAAATTCTTGGGGGATGTGGGCTTCACATTTACTCAGCACCTAGTTACCCTTGAGAAATTGGTGGAGGAGCTGCCCTCGTGCACAACTGGGTATGGGTGGAATGTTCCTCGGAGAATCAGTGCAGACTTGTTGAGCCTCTTTCTACACTGTAGGGATTCTATTCTATTCCAACAGCAAAGTGGAAATAAAGCATTCATCTGACATTATGATAGATGGATTCATTCAACACTGGAGTATATCGTACAAATTGTTATTTGCAGGATTAAAACAACCCAACACACTTGCATTCTTCATGTCCAAGTAGTTTTCCGACAGTTGATGCTTGCCCTAAATCAAATCGAAAAGATTAATTCCTTAAAAATCAGATATAAAATTGTCTTCAACTTATCCCCCAATCCAGAAAACCATACACATTGATATGGCAATTTGCCAGCATTCACCACAATAGGAACTGTACAAACCTCTTCAGATTCTTCTTCCTGGTCCCAATTTCGGTCAGTTAGTTCCTTGTCTGCAGTTCTCTTTGCCATTATGTTGTTACTGAAATAAAATGTGCAAGTTATCAATTGGATTACAGGTTTAAATTCAACAAAAATATCAAACTATTCATGTGTCACTGGCAAAATCTGAGGAGAAAAAAAGTCAACAAATTGGACAACAAAAAACACAATTCATATTGTTACTATCTTGATAGAGACCAGCAACTTTTAAAACACAAGATTCCAGTTCTTTACTAAAAGAATGAAGGCACACAGTTCTGTGATTTAAATGGAAATATACAGGAGTCAACAATACAAACACTAAATATTAATTCTGGATGTTAATGCATAGTATAAAGAGGCAAATCATAGCTGAATATAAACTATTAATTGCAACTGAAATAGCAGATATATGAAGTCAGAGACTCTGTCTTCCTCACAAAGAATTTCAGCTCCAATTTTTACAGGAGCTAGTCCGAACCAGAGTTGTATGGAAACAATCTTTACCACAAATAGCACATCCGTAGAACATGCTTAACTCGGTCTTGAATGATGTAGATCTGTCAGTGTTGGAGAAACACAAAGGCTGCTCCAACTTATTCTTGGCTTCTGGATCTAGCCCCTGCCATCATCGTCTTATTCAGCTTGCTTGTACTGCACTGAATTCATCAAATGATAGGACAGTGAAGACAGCGTTTGGTACGTTTGCCTTTATTGGTCATTGAGTATAGGAGTTGGGAGATCATTTTGCAGCTGTACAAGACATTGGTGAAGCCACTACTGGAATACTGCATGCAATTCTGGTCTCCCTGCTATAGGAAGGAACTTGAAAGGATTCAGAAAAGATTTACAAGTATGTTGCCAGGATTGAAGGGTTTAAGCTATAGGGAGAGGCTGAATAGACTGGCGCTATTTTCCCTGGAGCGTCAGAGGCTGAGGGGTGACCTTATAGAGGTTTATAAAATAAAAATAGGGTAAATAGATAAGGTCTTTTCCTAAGATGGTGGTGCCCAAAACAAGAGGGCGTAGGTTTAAGGTGAGAGGGGAAGATTTAAAAAGGGGCCTAATGGGGTAACTTTTTCCACACAGGAGGGTGGTGCGTTTATGGAATGAGCTGCTAGAGGAAATGGTGGTGGCTGGTACAATTATAACATTTAAAAAGGCATCTGGATTGGTGTATGAATAGGAAGCAATTAGAGGGATATGGTCCAAATGCTGGCAAATGGGACTAGATTTATTTAGGATACCTGGTTGGCATGTACGAGTTGGACCGAAGGATGTTTCTGTGCTGTATGTCTCTATGACTCTAAAACTGCTATTGCTCCGCTTGAACAGATACATGTCCCTTTATATCTTTTAACAGGCTCAGTTTTCCAGAGTTTTGATTTTCAAATCTTTGTTTACGTTTTCTTAGAAGCTGCAAGGGTGAATTATCTTTTGGTTTTATCTGTTGCTGCTCTTCTACTCCTTTGAGTTTTAGCTAGGATCTACCTCAGAAACAATAAATTAAACTTAAATCGAAGTTGACTAGTAAGAGAATCAATGTCAGATGGTCACAAGTTCATTTCTCCTCCAGAGTTGTGTGTATAATATCTAATTTGTTGGCAAAATACCAAAGAAGTACAGTACCAATAGAAATGGGATAACTTTTGGTAGAGAAAGTATCAAAAAAAAAAGATTCCTTTCCGATTCTGGAACATTATGGTGTGCAAATTAGTTGATATGTTCACCTCCATAAACAGAATTATACTTCAAAAAAAAAAAAAAAAGAAAATTGCTCATTTGCTATCAATATCTTTGGGACAGGCTGGGGTCACAAGAAATGTGATTTGGTAGTTAATGGTGGAACGATAGAAGCTGAAATGATCAAGAAGAATGGAGGATTTCATAGAGCAGGACAAAGATTTAAGACGTAATGCACCTTGCGGTAGTTAGCCATTCCTCCTCTTATCTATGCGAGTATTAATGTGGACAAGAACAGTAAAAATTGGGAGTGATAGAAGCAAGAAAAGCAAAGAATTGGGAAAGGGTAGGATAGCAACATATCTATGTAATAAATATTATATAGCTAATGCCATACTTCTGGACTGTAATTGCTTATCTAAGCAAAAAGCAGCTAATTTAGTCCCATACAAGGCCAATAACGAATGGCCAAATGATCATTTTACAATAATGTTGGTTGTGAGAAGAATATTGATCAGTGCACTGGGAGAATGCACTGTTATTCCACTAGAGTCAAATGGATCTTTCAAACAGTCACGTGGCAAACAGGACAGATATTTTAAAGATAGCATCTCCAACAAGACATTATACTTTATGTTTTACACAAATGCTACCTGAGATTTTAAACTCAAGTCCACAGCTGGGCTTTAACCTAAAACATAGTAATCCTCAAGTAATATAGTGCTATCAATGGAAGAAGTGAGAGGGCAATAATTAACAAAATTAGTATTTACTCCAGCAGTGAATCTCATGTTAATAGCAGAGATTCCTTCATTAATAATTAATTTGAGTTCATTCTTGCATCATGCCTGGCACCCATCACACATTGCTGTCATACAAAAGACACTGCCCCCAAAATGGCAATGGTTGCACGGGGGTTATCTCTCAGTTTAAAAAATTTTCATCCTTTGTTCTCGCCAATTTTAGCTGCGCGCTCCACAACCACCACCCCCCCTCAAAAAACCCTCCAATCCTGCCGCCACCATCACTGGCAGCATGCTTTCAGCAGCTATGGCCTTCAGCCTAAAACTCTCTATCCATCCTCTGTGGTTCTCTTTTCAATCTATAGGTTTTGAGCATCTATCTCTGGGTCCCTGGGACATAATGTCAATTTTCTCCCCACCATCCCCAATAAAGCTTCTCTAAAAAGTATATCATTTCATTAAACAGATGATGTAAAAACAAGTAATTGTTTAGGTCATCACTTCTAGGTACTCAAGGAAACCTCACACTATTCCCCTATAGGAAGGCAATATTTGCAGGAAGGGAAGAACTTGACTAAATGTTTAAAAATATTCTATCAAATAAAAGTTTTGCAAGATGCTTACATCAAAAGGATATTTTTATACCCTCAAAATTGTCTGGATTTTACCTTTGATTACAAACAAAAATGTTTAAACATTGTGCCAACCAATTCATCCATAAGACTATTTAATGTGAATCATAAAATATCAGTAGTATTTCGCAAGCTGTGACCCTGTAATGAGAAATTACTTTATAAACTTATTAGAAATAGGGCTCACCACATTTCATTCAGTTTAAGTCCAACACAATTTGAAGAAAGTGAATTAATAAGTGTGGGGAACCCAATCCAGAGGATAAAATAATACTTACCTTTATAAATCCCCTTACACAAAAGATGGGCCTTCCAGGTATATGATTCACTTCTTCTGACTTACACATATGGAACAATGAGTTGAATTGTGAGAAATTAAATTCAATGAATAACCTTCGTTTCGTAGATGAGTGCCTCTCAAAGGGGTCCCCATTCCATCAGTTTGGTTCTCATCTTTCACCCAAACCTTATCCAAGAGTATACATTATGGAAATTGTTCAAATAATTCTCATTTACATGGCACTTAGTGCTCTGAACCAGCTTGGAGGAAGAAGGCAAGCTTGAGAAAAAGTTGTTATCAGTTAAATCTGAGTTCACATAACTTTATTAACCACGTGAATTTGCTCTTGCAGTTTATGACATCATTCTTAAAAATAGATTGTTGCCTCATAATCATTTGACCAGCATTATTCTTTGCATACCTGCTCTGCAATAATTCAACAGCGAGAAAACATCAATATTAATTCTGATAGACCTCTGTACATTTTTTGTTTCGAGACCACAAATTACTATCCTTTACAAAGAACAGCACTGTTTGAAGTATGTTCAAGCAAATAACTTAATCAGAGAATCAGACGTTGCTGGTGACCCACACTAGCTTTGTTTGCATACCCTGACATAAGTGGGTACTTTCAATTTATGACTGCTGTACAAAAAGACAACATTATTTGCCTTGACAACTGCACATGCTTTAGTTACAATGCATCATAATTGAGTGGCTTAATTTATTCCATCCTGACTAAATTGCCCGTAGTGTTCAGGGATGCCTAGATTAGGTGTGTTATAGGAGATGGGTCTGGTTGGGATGCTCCGAGGGTCGGTGTGGACTTGTTGGGCCGAAGGGCCTGTTTCCACACTGCAGGGATTCTATGATTTATGATTTATTCCAAAGTGCATCATAAACTTCCAAGAGAAAATTTTTTTTAAAAGCATTCAAGTTTTAAACTTACGAACAACACGGAGGACATTTTTCCAGGGAAATAGGTTCAAATTCCACCATGGTAGATAGTGAAATCTGAATTCAAAAAAATCTAAAATTAAAAAAGCTAGCCTAATAGTAACAATGTGACCACTGACAATTATTAAAATCCACCTGGTTCACAACTGTCCTGTAGGGAAGGGAATCTGGCACCCTTACTTGCCTCTATCGAGACCCACAGCAGTGTGGTTGACTCTGAATTGCCTCATGGGTAGTTAGGGATGAACAATAAATGCTGGACTGGCCAACAAAGGCCACATCCCATGAATAAATAATAGAAATCTCATCTCAAAAATGAAAAGAAAGAAAATGGAAATCTCAAGGTATAAGCAGCAACCTTAGAGCACATTTTGGCTGTCATAGCTAAACAGTTATTCAAGTTAGTCCCACTTTCTTGCTCCTCAGTTCTGTACATCATGCTACCTCAAGTACTTTTTATATTAGATTTAGATTTCTGCCAACCCCTTTCAGGCACCAGATTCCAGATCCTCAAATATTTCCTCTAATCCTAACAATTAAATCTATATGCCATGGTTACTGGCCTCTGTAAACCAAGGGATGCAGTTCTTTCTTATCCATGCCATGCTGTAAATTTAAATTCAATTTACAAATATTGCACATAAATTTATTTACAACACAGGGTAGTAATTCAAGCCACAAGGCTCTAACTGTTTCTATTTTGTTTGGTTTCTCCTGCATCATGTTACTGTCTAGCCATAAGCAAGGAAGACTGTTACTTCATTGAATCATAGAGCATTTACAGGATAGACAGTGGCTATTTAACTCATGGGTTGCGTTCTCTCACTGCAGCAATGTGACAGCTGGTCCCACTCACCCATCAATTCCTTGTAACCTTGCACATCTTTTCATCTTCAGGTGCTTCTCTCCATCACTTTTGAAAATCACAATGGAATCTGCTGTCACCAACCTCTTGGGCAATGCATTTCAGTTCCTACTCAATTGTTGTAGACAGGAAATAAACATTCTTTCAAGTTGTCTTTTACCAATCACCTCAAATTTATGGTCAAAATTCTCGGCTCTTTTTGCAAAGGGAACTATTTATCTTGACCTGCTTTGGGTGACACCTTGAGATCCTGAGCCCCTCTGAAATCTTACTCTCGAAAGAAAACAACTTCTGTTTCACCAATAACTGTGTCCTCCATCTCAAGAAATATTCATTTTAAATCTTTCTTGCATCTTCCTAAATCCTCCACTATCCTTTCTAAAAGGTCTGCCAAAGAATTACCCAATAATCCAGGTGAGGTAAAACTAGTGTTTTATACAAATTCACCATATCTTGTTTTCGCACTCTATGCTTCTACATTTAAAGTCCAGGATTCTGCATGCCTTACCAGACACTGTCTTCAACTAGACCTGTCAGCATCAACAATTTCTGCACATTTATCATCAAGCCCCACTGCTCTTTCACCCATTGCCTCCTTATTCTTCCTACCAAAATGTATCACTTCATATTTCTCTGCAGTAAAATTTCATTTGCTACCTGTCCGCCCTTTACATGAGTCTATGACCATGTTCCTACACAAAACTTGGAAGTACTGTGAAAAAGAAATTGTGGCCAGTTACTACATTATTTAAATACATGGAGAAAGGCATTGACACCTGGGGAATGCTGCCGTATATCACCCTTCGGTGTGAAAATTGACTATTTAAAATGTGAATCTTAAATAGAAGATAACTGATGACAGCAACATTGCTTAAAGTACTCAATTATTCCAAACAACACAGCCATCTGTGTTCATAACCAGTTGAAATACAAGTATGCCTTTTCACATTCATTCATTTGCCAGGGCACTAAATATTGCCTAAATTAAGATTGATTAAACAAATGTACATACTAAAATCATATTCAGAAGGAGGCCAACTGATCACCAATTTTTTCTTCTTAAAATCAAACACAGTTCTACCAGGAAATCCTTGTACGCTGACAGTGAAAAAAAGCCAATCTTAAACGAGTACATTAGGGAGTTCTAAATGGCTTCATGTAATATCCTACCAGCCAAAGCCAACCAGTTACAGGATAAGAAGTGAACATCTAGAGTGATTAGAAATTTGGTTAATGAAGAAAATTCAATGCGCTGATGGCAAAACATCACATTCAATACCAGTTACGCTGCATATTCCCCAGGGAACTGTTGTCCTGGAGTACACAAACAGCATTGGATATAAAATTGGTCCCAACTCCAAACATCAGGCTGTTTACAGATTACTGTCTCAAAGACCAACCCAGCTACAGAATGACTTAGATATGCCTGTAACAGTCCTACAGTTAAGTTGCATACTTAATATATCAAAATGCCACATAATACACGCAATAAAGGCGCAGGCAACAGTGGGAAATCAACCTCGCATCCATCAAACAAACTTGTATCTTGGTGTTCTCCCTCAGTGACATCAATACACCAAAAGAACGAAGTGCTGTAACACAAACAAAATCCTAGAATTTTTAAAAGGAAAAATCTAACTAAATACAATAAAACTCTAGACTGGTACTTAAGGCTTGGTATGTTCCAAACTGGCTAGCACAGGAACAGTCTGGGACCCCTACTGAGCCCACTTTGCAAACAAACTGGAAACCATTCAAAGACAAGCAGCATAGTTTGTCTTCAACAACTATGTCAGAACATCTACAGTTATGCAAAATGCTGAACTAAAACAACCTAGACCGCAAAGTTAGGTGAATAAGCTTACCACTGCTCTACAATTAAGTTCACTCTGACCTTGCTAATGTTCTACCACAATAAGTTAAATAAACAGCCTACCGCAGAAAGGAAATATCAAATGGCTTCTGCATTTCTAATGTAACACACAATAATATCTGAACAGCTGAATTATGAAATATCTAGCAGCTACAGATAACATCTACCTGAAAATATGAAAAAAATGCCTATATTTGTCCTGCACACAAAAAGCATGAGATCACCATTCTAGCCCTCATTAGTCTACACTTGAACACTGGCAAAGTGAGAGGAGATGTTGTCAACAGTGCCGTCACGCAGCACTTGCATAGCAATAACATCCTCATTGATGCTCAGTTTGGGTTCTTGTAAAGCCTCTCAGTTCCAGGCCTCAGTACAGCTGTGGTCCGACGATAGACAAAAGAATGGCCACAAGGGGAAGACAGTGGCTGTTCTTTACAATAAGTGTGACAGTGTGAGATCCTGATAAGTAGCAAATAACATTCAGGCCACACAAGTGCTGGGTAGTGATCCTCTTCGATATAGAAACTAACATCACTTGACATTCGACATGGGGTGGAGAAAGTCACCTCATCCACCACTGACTGACTCTCAATAGCAGCAATGTGTATTGTAGACAAGATAGACTACTACATCTTGTCATTGAGAAAAACAAGGGCAGCAGACAGTCAAAAACACTCCCGCCTGCAAATTCCCCAAGCCAGACACTATCCTGACTTGAAACTATAATCACCATCTTTTCACAATCAATTTTGCAACCGAGAATTCTCCCTAAAAACGGCACTACGAGTGTACGTACCACCAACAAGATAGGCCGGATTAAGTCAACTCAATATCTTCATGTGGGCAATGAGATTTGGGAATCAAATGCCTTGCCAGCAATGCTTAAATGTTAGGAAAGAACGTTCTCAGAAAGAAAAATCGAATATCCTGCCACAAAAATAACTAGCCAAATGACCTCGTAGCTAAATGATAGAAATGAGAAAAAAAGATAATTTAGGATATGTGTGCAGCACAAAAGTCACACCATGGATGATGTTGCTCCAAATTATGTGAAGCAACTATTCTGATACAAACAAATTACTGCAGATGCTGGAATCTGTACTGAAAACAAAAAAAAATGCTGGAGATCACAGCGGGTCAGGCAGCATCCACGGAGAGAGAGAGCAAGGTAACGTTTCGAGTCTAGATAACTCCTCATCAGAGCTAGAGTGAAGTCATCTGGACTCGAAACGTTAGTTTGCTTTCTCTCCATACTATTCTGATAACTCATCACAGATCGAATCTGCGAACTTCCGGGTTTCTGTTGGGTAACGTATAAGCTCACAGCATAACGCATTGTGAAATTCTCCGAAAACTTCAATGTTCGGATGTAAATTTACCAAAGTGCACACTGGGCCTCTCCCGACTGTTTCGACAAACAAGACTATGTCCTTCTGTTCCCACCACTGGGAACCTAGTGAGCTCCCTGGGGCAGACCTACGGGCGGGAGATCACTTCCTTTATCGGTTGGAGGATATTTAACTTAAAATATTTTGATTTAAAAAGTCTCTCTTCATTAAAAGGGTTGGAAGCATAATTTTAATGCCTTCCAGGGGGTTAGAGGCGCCCTCATTGTGGGTGACCAGGGGCATGTGGCCCGGAGAAGCCACGCAACCTAACATGACATCGGTGCAGCCGGCTTTGATTGACAAGGAACTGACCAATCAGCAGGCGGCAGGCACCAAAGGCGGGACTAAAACCAGCAAGTTTGTTCGACTCGTTGCTGCCCCGAGATGAATGTGCGTTTTAAAAACGAGCGGCCAGGACCACTCCAACACCATCCCAGCGAGATAATTCAAACCGTCCAGCACCATCCTCGGGTTCACGGCTGCGGAAAAGGGCTAGAAATGGTTTTGGTCAAATAAACATAGGGGAGACCAAACGATCAGCTCCTCACAGCGAGCCCAGGCCGCGATGAAATGTCGTTTTACCTTTTTATTCAAAATATGTCCCTCAACATCTGCACCCACAAAAAACGCCAAGCATCAAATATAAACCTACTCCCGCCCCCTACATGAGTTTATTTCATCTAATAGACCGTCACATTTTTTTTTGGAGCGGCGCAAACCAACGGTTTCCCCTTTGAATCTGTGAATTCTCAGTGCAAGCACATAAGGTTAGCTCGGCTCACCTGGCTGTGGTAGGTGAATCTGCCCTTATCGATAAACCGGTCGCTCTGTGCCGGTAAGGTCTTTCGGAGGTTACAATCTGATTTCCCCTATTGAATGCCGAATGATTGTATTATGTGATTCCACACTCCTTCCCTCAGCCCCTTCTCGCGCTTTCAGCTGTGCTCCCGTTCCGCCATTTTGTGCCGGAGGACGGGCCGTGCGCATGCTCCCTCCACGGGACCAGTGACACCAGGCCTAAGGGCATCTCTTGTTGGTGTCTCTCCAGCATCACCCTGGAAGCCTATTGGTGAACACTGGAAATGTTCAACTGTGCTTAGTTGATGGGTAGTATCTGAAAACCAAGCATCAGAGAAACTGGCACATGTAATTCTTTCTCCAATTTTATAGAGCCTGAGTGAGACCACGCTTGGAGTGTCGTATACAGTTTGATCTCCTAAGGAAGGATGGCTATTTTAATCAATCTGTCCATCTGTTCTGAAGAAGGGCCACTTGACCCAAAACATTAACTCTAATTTATCTCCACAGATGCTGCCAGACCTGCTGAGCTTTTTTTCTGTTTTTGTTTCTGATTCACAGCATCCGCAATTCTTTCGTTTTTGTTTTGTCCATATGTTGTGTCCTGTTATGACACGACTCTGGAGCACGTGGAACCTGAACCCAGGCCTTCTGACTCAGAAAAGTCGGGACACCACGGCTGCAATACAAGAACTCTCCCTAAAGAAGAATATATATACCATAGAGAGAGTGCAAAGGGGTTTTCACCAGACTAATCACTGGGATGATGGCGTTTTCTAATGAGGAGAGATTGAGGAAACTAGACATGTATTCTATCGAGTTTTGAAAAATCAGAGGTAATCTCGTTGAAACTTACAAAAATTCTTACAAGGTATAACAAGGTGGATATAGATTGAACGTTTCTCCTGGCTGGTGAGTCTAGAACCAGGGATATAGAGTCTCAGATTAGGGAATCGATCACTTAAGTCTGTGATGGGAGGAGTTTGCTCACTCAGAGGTTGGTAAATATTTGGAGTTCTCTATATTAGAAGGCTGTGGAATCTCAATCATTGAGCACGTTTTATATAGGAATAGATATATTTCTGGATATGGCAGACCAAGTTTCCGTGGTGAATTACATATTTAGTATCTATGATAAATAAAATCCACGTATGCGTCAATAGAGATAAAATACAACTTTAAAATAGACCTAACTCTGAATTATCACATTTCTTGACAACCATAATTTTGTCATTGAACTGATCTTTAAATAGGAGCAAAATGCACAGGGAACATCCTGCTGGCAGTCAATGCCACCTGCAGCCTTAAAACAGTGGTGCTTGGGATTATGTTCAGCCAGGTGACCTTGCAGAGGGAGCACACAGCATGGTTGCAGCTTTTAGGGTCCATGTGGGGCTGAGGTGTGTTATTTCCCCCAACCACTATATTTTGATTTGATCCTCCAGTTTTCACTTCAGTCCCAGTGCCCTAATGGGCTGTTTGATTTTTATTTATTTAGTATTGCTTTTGCAAATAAGTATTTGAATGGATATAGTGGCTCTTGTGGCAGAATGGTGGTGTCCTTGCCTCTGAGCTAGAAGTTATGAGTTCAAGATGGGTATATGGACAGAGGTTAAAAAGGTTTTTATAGAACATAGAACATTACAGCGCAGTACAGGCCCTTCGGCCCTCGATGTTGCACGGACCTGTGAAACCAATCTGAAGCCCATCTAACCTAAACTATTCCATTATCATCCATATGTTTATCCAATGACCATTTAAATGCCCTTAAAGTGGGCGAGTCTACTATTTTTGCAGGCAGGGCATTCCACGCCCTTACTACTCTCTGAGTAAAGAACCTACCTCTGACATCTGTCCTATATCTATCACCCCTCAATTTAAAGCTATGTCCCCTCGTGCTAGCCATCACCATCCGAGGAAAAAGGCTCCCACTGTCCACCCTATCTAATCCTCTGATCATCTTGTATGTCTCTATCAAGTCACCTCTTAACCTTCTTCTCTCTAACGAAAACAGCCTCAAGACCCTCAGCCTTTCCTCATAAGACCTTCCCTCCATACCAGGCAACATCCTGGTAAATCTCCTCTGCACCCTTTCCAATGCTTCCACATCCTTCCTATAATGCGGTGACCAGAACTGTACGCAATACTCCAAGTGCGGCCGCACCAGAGTTTTGTACAGCTGCAACATGACCCCATGACTCCGAAACTCAATCCCTCTACCAATAAAACCTAACATACTGTATGCCTTCTTAACAATGCTATCAACCTGGGTGGCAACTTTCAGTGATCTATGCACATGGACACCGAGATCTTTCTGCTCATCCACACTACCAAGAATCTTACCATTAGCCCAGTACTCTGTATTCCTGTTACTCCTTCCAAAGTGAATCACCTCACACTTTTCCTTCATTGCTCATTCCTTTGAGTCTAGGAGTTGGGAAGTCATGTTGAGGTTCTACCGGACATTCCCTGGAAATCAAGGAAGAAATACACAGATCAAGTTTAAAACAAGTTTGAACTTAAGTTGTGTGAGGTTTTCTCAGTCATTTATTCCTGTGATTGTATCATCTCAAGACATTAGAAACAATAACGATTACAACCAGAAAACCTGTTTGTCAACCTAAAGGTACAATCTATAACCATGGTACCCATATTACTATACCACTATCTACACCACTCAAACACATTTATTATATCACATTAATGTTTGTCATTTGATATATCCCATCCAAATGGCAGGGCAAATCCAGTGGAAATGGCAGCATTGTAGTATAGAGTTGGAAGGAAATTACCCTCAAAGTCTCCATCATTGACTCTCAATCACATAAAATCCCAGGATGTAGGTCAAAATGGGCAAGGAAACTTCTGCTGACTACCAGTAACACACCTTGCCTCGCTCAGATGATGAATCAGTGCTTCTTCATGTTCACCTGGAGGAAACACCTAGAGTAGCAAGGTTGCAGAATGTATTCTGGGTTTGAGAATTTCAATGTCAACACAAGGCATGCTTGGTAACACCGCCACTGACGGAATTGGTCAAGCCATAAAGGTCACATCTGTTAACGCGATCTGTAGCAGGTGAAGACCTAGTGTGCAAGAGGGAAAAGCATATTTGATGTAATCCTCTCCAATCTGCCTGCCTTAGATGTGCCTGTCTATGACAGTATTGGTAAAAGTGACCACCGCACAGTCCTTGTGGAGACAAAGTTCTGTCTTCACATTGAGAATACTCAACATTTTTTTATTCACTCATGGGATTTGGGCGTTGCTGGTTGGCCAGCATTTATTTCCCATCCCTAGTTGCCTTTTAGAAGGTGTTGGTGAGCTGCCTTCTTGAACCACTGCAGTCCATGTGTTATAGGTGGAACCATAATTACTGAGCATTGGTAGCGGAGGGAATGGATGCTTTTGAGTGTGGTGCCTATCAAGCAAGCTGCTTTGTGCTGGATGGTTTCAAGGTTTATGAATGTTGTAGGAGCTGCCGTTATCCAGGCAAGTAGGGAGTATTCCATTACACTCCTGACTTGTGCCTTTTAGACGGTGAGCAGGCTTTTGAGAGACTGGAGATGAGTTACTCATTGCAGTATTACTAGCCTCTGACTTGCTTTTGTAGGTCCATTGATATGGTGAGTCCAGTTGAGTTTCTGATTAATGGGAACTCCAAGGATGTTGATAGTGGGGGATTCAGTGATGGTAACACCATTGAATGTCAAGGGACGGTGCTTAGATTGTCTCTTATTGGAGTTGGCCATTGCCTGGCATTTGTGTGGCATGAATGTTAATTGCCACTTGTCAGCCCAAGCCTGGATATTGTCTAGATCTTGTTGCATTTGGACATGGACTGCTTCAGTATCTGAGGAGTCACTAACAGTGCTGAACACTGTGCAATCATCAGTCACTTCTGACCTTATGATGGAGGGAAGGTCATTGATGAAGCAACTGTAGATGGTTGGGCCTAGGATATTTCCCTTACGACCTCCTGCAGACATGTTCTTGAGCTGAGATGACTGATCTCCAACAAGCTCAACCAGGTGCCAGGTATGTGCCAGGTATAACTCCAAGCAGCAGTGAATATGCTCCCAGTTCTTGTTGATTCCAGTTCTGCTTAGGCTCCTTGATGCCACACTCGGTCAAATGCAGCCTTTATGTCAAGGGCTGTCACACTTACCTACCCTCTAGACTTCAGCTCTTTTGCCTACGTTTGAACTAAGGTTGTAATGTGGTCAGGAGCTGGGTAGCGCTAGCAGAACCTAAACTGGGTGTCGCTAAGCAGGTTATTGCTGAACAAGTGCTGCTTGATAGCACTGTTGATGACACCTTCCATCACTGTACTGATGATTGAGAGTAGATCTATAGGGATCTATTGTCAGGTAGATGCCAATGTTGTAACTGTACTGAGTGCTAGGTGGGGAGACAAGTTCAGAAACATAAGTCTTCAGTACTGTTGCCAGAATATTGTCAGGGCCCATAGCCTTTGCAGTATCCAGTACCTCAACTTTTCTTATATCATCTGCAGTGAATTGAATTGGCTGAAAACTGGTATCTGTGAAGATGAAGACTGCTGGAGGAGGCCAAGATGGATCATCCTAATGGCACTTCTGGCTGACAATTGCTGCGAATGCTTCAACCTTAACTTTTGCACTGATGTGTTGGGCTCTTCCATCATTGAGGATGGGGATATTTGTGCAGCCTCCTCCTCCAGTGAGTTGTTTAATTGACCACTATCATTCATGACTGTATGTGGCAGGATTTCAGAGCTTACATCTGATGGGTTGGTTGTGGTATTGCTTTGTTCTGTCTATCACTTGCTCTTTGGCATTCAATTAGTCCTGTTTGGTAGCTTCACCGGGTTGACACCTTATTTTTAGGTATGCCTGGTGCTGCTCCTGGCATGCCCACCTGCACTCTCCATTGAACGAGGAAAGATCCCCTGGCTTGATGATAATGGTTGAGTGGGAGATATGCCAGGCTCTGAGGTTGCAGATTGTGCTGGGGTACAATTTTGCTGCTGTTGATGGCCCACAGTGCCTCTTGGAAGCCCAGTCTCGAATTGGTAGATCTCTTTGAAGAATGCCCCATTTAGCACACTGATAGTGATAGTGACACGATGGAGGATATTCTAAATATGAAGGTGGGACTTGGTCTCCACAAGGACAATGAGGTGGTCACTCTTACTGATACTGTCATGGGC